GCCTGAAGTAGCGAGTCCCTCCTGTGGTGTAAAGTAATTATAAACAGATTACAGATACTGATACTATTATGTAGTCGGCGTATTAATCTAGAACAGTGAACAGACATTTTCAGTGGAACGTTTTAGGAGGTGTACATTATCAGGTTTTAACAGACACCCTGCAGCCAATCAGAATTGGGTATTCACTCAGACCATGATTTGCTGCTTCTTGTTCGGCGCTGGAGAGAGAGAGCAGATATTGGTTGTTGACAACGTTCCAGTCATTAAACTATGTACACGAGCCAGGAATAAAACTTTATGATAATATAAACATGTTCTTTTATTTGGAACATCAAATCGAGAAGCAGACCGACAATTCAGACTGAGTTTTCTGAGCTCACAGGAGCGTGCCACAACTTTTATGACTTCTATCCAACATTGGAGGTTTGTCTGCGACAGTAAAATCACATTTGGTGTCGTCCTGCAAGAAGCCAATAAGAGTATTTTACAGAATGTCAAACTATTCCTCTAATAAAGTACCAAACCATCAACAGTTTGTCACTGTGGTGTTTCAAAACAGATTGTGCTGCTTCATGTGTCTCACCTGACGTTTTCTCTCTGCCCCTCAGGTGGTGACGAACCGCGACACCCAGGAGACCTTGCTCTGTATAGCGTTTGTTTTTGAGGTTTCCACGAGTGAACACGGAGCTCAGTATCACGTCTACAGACTTGTTAAAGACTAACAGCTCTTCAGGGAGGTTTTTTTGGAAAAGCCAGACGAAAGCGTGACACAATCTCTCTTCGACCAGCTCAACCATCCAGGAAACAAAAAACAACAACAACAAGACAAACATTCAGACAGTGCTAGACCGAACTAACACGGACACATTTTTATGCTTTAAAAACAAGTCTCGTTTGCGAGGAAATAAGAATCTCGACGTGCTGACACAGCAAAGAAATTTTTGAAGAATTACGGATTTTTCAAACAACCAGTTATTTTCCATGTGTTTAAACATGCTTTAGATGAAGTGGGTCACTTTTGCCGAGGTAATCGATGGAGCCTGAAATGTTTTACTGAGGGAACGAGAATGTGTTTAGGGTTGAAAGGACTCTTAGAGTATCGGCGGAGGATCACGCTCCGAGCAATAAGAGAAGTGTACATACAGATTAAAGAAGTAGAGAGAACAGGACCACGGAAGGGGGGAAACCAGAGCCAAGTGGTGTTGTTGCAGTAGGTGTGTTAGGAAAGCAAGTGCCTTTTCTCCAAAGATTATATCATTGCCTGCCACTTTGGATCGCCTTTTTTTTTTTTTTTTACTACCTCTTGTTTTTAAATGAACAGAAAAAAGACATGTATTTTGTCCAAAAAATTGGAAAGAAGCGCCTCAGATTGACATCTTCAGAGGCGTTTTTTTGTATTTGAGCACACAGAGGAATGGGACGGGATTACTAATTTTCATGTAGCCTGTTTTTACAAAAAAGATCGTCCCAAGTTTTACAGTCCAAGTGTCTAGGGAGAAGGTTTATTGTGTTACCGTACTATTTAGGTTCTGCTTTTTTTTTTAAATGTTTTATTACACAGATTAAAAATCAGGTCTTACAAGCATCTATCTATAACTGACTTTTGACACTAGGGATGCCTTGTACCGTTGCTAGCCTGACATAAAGCCAGGGCTTTGCCATCCTTAAGAGATCCCCTGTTATTTCTCTCTGTGCGAAGACGTGTGCTTGGTTGCACTTAAAAAGATCAAGAAGGGGGGAGGTGAAGCAACAGCAGTGCTTATTTTCTGCCTTGAGTTATGTAGCCTAATTGAAACTTGTTTCTGTACTGTGAGTCAGTGGATGCTAAAGGAATATGTGTTACATAGGAGTATTTTTTTCTTTTGGAGGGTCGGGGGGGGGGGGCTTTCTGTTCGTATTTGTGATCAATTAACTCAGCACAGAGACCGCGGTTTAAGTGGAGAGAAGTTAATCACTGTTTCTTTTGTTTAAAAAAGAGATTGTACGCTGTGAAGTCGGCTCATTTTGCTTCACCCTTCTCCGGTGTAACATGTGGAGAAGCTGCATCCGTTGATAAAAGTTCAGTTTGGATGTTTGAGACAGTTGTTTCACGTGAAATGAATTTTGAAATCAAATGAAATGATTGTCTTGAATGCGAGCTGTTGTCTCTGTGCTGCGTGGAGTATGACCATTGATTGTTATTTATAGGGTTGGATAAGAGATAGAGGGAGGGCGGGGGCGGGGCGGGTACTGGAGATGTGTTGATCATTTTCCACTGTGATGGAGATGTTTTTAAAGTATTGCAGGACTCACATTAGAGACAGGAGAACTGTCGTCCCGTGGATCCTGCGAAACAAGTGTCTACTCTGTGTGGTTCACTGGACAATTGTGCTATAAACAAATTTAAGATATTGTGCGGCGGAATATTTGCACCTGGCTTTGAATGTCATATTTCACAAGCTAGATACAATAACACTCCTCCTCTAGCAGGACTCTCAATTCATCTTTTATACAGACTATTTTTTTTTTCGCCATTATCAAGATTAATGTTTTGTTTTGATTCTGTTGTCTTTTGACTTTCAGTGTTTGCCATATGCTCCACTGAAAATAATGTGTGATTGTGCTGATATTGATAATTAATAATGAGATATCTAATGTATCATATTCTGAATGGTGTGGGCAGTTTTTTTTTTTTTTTTTGTTTTTGTTTTGTTTTTTTGGTTTAAGGTGGTTTACTGTTGTCTTTGTTACCATTGTGCATTGCAATTTTATACTTCAAAGTAGAGGTTGGACTATGTAATCAAACAAATGTATCTAACAATAAAAGACGCATGGTGCCTTTGGGGCCATTTTCCCCAGAAAACTTATTAAAAATGTTTGTAAGTCTGTTTTGTCCATGATGGATCTTTTCACAGCGATATTGTGTTAGTGTTAACTTTCACAAGTTAGCTTCATGATCATGCTTGACCCTCAGTTTTTTACCCATACTTTTAAATGAAAGGTGCACTGAGCATTTATTACAGAGATCCCCTGGGGTCACGGGTGTTGCACCAAATTCTGTGACCTGATTAGAAGTTTTCCTTGTATCACTGCTGCAAATGTTTTAACATATATTTATCCTCTAGCAACCTGCGGCTCCAAAGCCACAAGTGGCTCTTAAGCCCTTCTCCAGTGGCTCCCTTTGGCTTTGACAGAAAATTATATGGAATAAATAACCGTTATTTTTTTTTAACGTTTTAATTTTCATTTATTGTTGCAAGCCTAAAGTGATTCTTATATTCTTTAGCTGTAAAAAAATTGTAGCCTATGCATCGATTTAAAAAATATTTTAACATTTCAGCAACTAAAATGTGTGTCATACGTCTGTGACCTGGCGCTTTTTCCTCTACAAACATCATTTGCGATGGCTACAGTAGTCTTGAGTCTACCTTGCTGGGCTAGCTGTGGATTCCAAATCCAAAAAGGGGAGAGGCTGCATGGACAAATTTGTTTGCTTTTACTGGCAATACTGCACAGTTTAAGTACCAAATAATCAAAAACAACCCACTGCAGAGGAGCCACCTTGTGATAAAACATATTAATGAATGCTCATTTAGATCTGTTAGTAATGTTGATAGGCTAAATTTGACTTAAAAGGCTGTGTTACCTTTATTATGAGGCTCAAATATGTTTTGCGGTTTTCTTTTTTGGCCTAAAGTGGCTCTTCTGATAGTAAAGGTTGCCGACCCCTGCTCTAGCATCATCTGAAGGGCCAGAGAGTTTGGTATGTTGCAGGCATGTCCAAAGTCTGGCCTGAGAGCCAATTGTGGCCCACAGACTGATTTCAAATGGCCTGCGACTTGTTTCTTGAAATACAGTAGCTATATGTGGCTAATCACGCAATATTGCTCAAGGAGGTTCACTTTTTTTCTGTATCTCATAATGGCAGCACTATCACAAATTTGTAGGCATAAAAAAACAAGAACTATGCAGGAGGAACTGAAGTGTCTTCATAAACAGACAGGAAACAAGCAAACCAACAGTTACCTGCCAGCAGACGTTTCCTGCCACATAGCAGACATTACGTTGCTTTTAGAAGCAGTGGAAGGAGAATACTTTTTCCTCAAAGACAAAACACTTATATTTGTCTCATTTTTAAATAACCCATATGATGCAAGAAGCAGCTAGACGTGTGGCTGTGTATTTACCTGCAGACACTCTGGCGTTTGACTGTATTTTCTCCTTGTTTTGCTGTGTGACATTCCTGAGCACAGCACGCAGGTGAAGTCAGGACTTAAATTAAAGGTAGGGACCCGGTACAGACTGTAGGGCATCACCATGGGTGGATTATGAGACAATGGGCCCTGAGCATAGACATGCAAAACACTCCACTACCTCTCCTACACAGTTTCTGTAGTTTTGTGTCTGCATCTCTTTGTGGTCTGTTTGTCTCTTTGTGGTTATTTGAAGTCTCTCCCTGGTTGATATATGTTATTTTTTTCTGTGTTAAACAGGCAAACCATTTAATGCATATACAGGTCCTGTTTGTGCATCTGTGTGTATTACGGGCCTGTGTGTATGACAACACGATTTACCCTCGGGATTAATTATCTTCTTCTTCTATTTACACTCTCACAAGGTAATTTATAATAAAATAATATTAAAAGGGGGCATTTAAACATTTTACTGATAATATTTGTTTTCTTTTACTCAAGCAGGGCTTTGAATTAACGACTTTTACTTGCTTTTGACGTTTGACTGTAAGAACTTCATCTCCCAGTAGTCATTGCGGCCGACGCAGAATCAAGCCGGAAACGACAAAATAAAATCGAGTTTTTAAAAAATAAATTAATCACAATTATTACCAGCCCCATTAAAATGTAATATACACATATGCTCAGAGAGTTCTGTCGGTAAATATCAGTGACTGCATGTCTATTGCATATACCGAAGTGAAATACAGACGCGACTAAGTTCGTGTTTTATTTTGAAGGACAAATACAACCGGATATCATCACAAATATTTTTATACCTCTGCTGAATCCACGCCGGGAGGAAAATCACGTAGGAATGGAAGTGTCCAAATACCGCAAAATTACTGCTCGTTATCTGATATGCTGTCAAACCGACTATGATAATAATTAACTCGGACTACAACAACAGCTAGCTAGCTAGCACGCTAACAGGAAGTGTTTGGGGTTTAAAGCCCAAAGTAACGTTAACAGTTAGGGCACAGACGGTGAAACGGTCCACTTAACTTCAGCTGACGTCAACAGGTTCGTGCGGTGAGTTGAATTACCTGATAAATAAATAAATAAATAAATAAATAAATAGGTCAACAGAAACCGGAGCTGCTTACAGTGACAGAGACTAGCGTTAGTCAAGTGGCTAACTTGAGTTGTTTAGCAGCTGTTGTCTTAACGGTGTTACCTGTCGTCATTAACGGTCGAATACCGCAGCTACGTGATGATGAAGGTGACTATGTTTAACGGTTTCATCAAAATGTTAATTAGCAAAGCGCTAAGATGGCAAACAAGTGTAGCATTTACCTTAGCTGAATTTTATCCACTTTGTCTCTGAGCTAACGGTTCTCTACCTCTGCATTTCTTGCCCCAAAACATCCCCAGACAAACCGGCATTTTGGGTCACATGTAACTTAATCTGGGGTCATTTGGCGGTGTGAGATCCAGGACACATGCAGGCTGTGTGCGTGACAAACTGTCGCCCGCTGTTTATAGATAGCGTCAGGAAGTTTATCCTCGTTTTGGGTTAAAGTCAATAGCTGTTACCTGGCTGTGACATCTTCAGCCTGCACACACCTCTGTGGATAAACACACAGAGATGCTTTATACAGCGTGAGGTTAATGTTTAGCCTCAGGAAGAAATGCTTTATTGTGTTCACTCTGTTTGCTTTCTCTGTGTTGACACATAATAAACAGCCAGTTTTACCTCTGACACTAAAGCCCCTTGATTTTTTTCCCCCTGCCTGGCTGCTTCCCCCTTATTCTGTCCAGACAGAGCAAAGCCATGTCAGCACTCTGTGTGCGGCCGGTGTATTGTTGCACTCCCAGGAGAAAGCAGCGAATGCATTCACCTCTTTACTTTGTCTCCACCACATTTCCCCACTGCATGACACAGTGAGGCCTGTCAGGTCAGCTGAGTGTCATCACAGTATTTAAAATCACATAGCTGCTTATTTTCAGACCTGTCTGTACCTGAAAAGATGCAGACTTGTTGTTTTAATGTACAGAATTCACAGTCTGTAGAATAAAATCAGATTTGTTTGCAGTTTTTCAGTTACAAGGAGTGAATTTTTTTTTTTTGCTGATTTCTTAAAACACAAAGTCCAAGAACTTGAACTATACTCTGGCTCCAGTCTGCTTGGTTTGCACTTTTGACGCTTACCGTGCAGTTTTTAGTGGTAACTCTATAGGGCTAATAGCACGTGTGCCTCTCTCTGAGTCTCGTGATTGTGTGGTTTTTAAGGTCATGAAGTTTTTATTTTAGGAACTCAATGGGAGTCACCAGAGGCCCCATGATGTAATATTGTCACAATACCGAAGTCATGAGTGTTGTGATAACATATAGTGTGATTTATTATTTTATTATTACTACAATTTTTTCCCCAAAGGAAAACTTTGCCAACATCAGTTTTATTTAATGAAGTAACGTTTTCAATCTGTTCACTTCACCTCAGTCATTTGTATTGCAGCAAAATGTATCTAGTGGACTAAAAAAGCAATTAATTTCATGGGGTTGTGTCTCAGGGATTCACCTTGAGAGCCTTCGATGCGACAATCTGTGTTTGTATGTTGAATTTGAGAGTATTTGGGGCCCAGTGGTTAGGCACCTTAATTCACCATCTGTTGGTTGAGGTTTCTACTGAGAGTCACCATGTTTTGTTTGTTTGTGTTTTTTGTATGTCATACAAGTATGTTTTTTAGTGTGTATGTATATGTAATGTTTTTTACATGAAAATTAAATATGATATTTTTAAAAAAATCCATTAATTGTATTATTCGAGTAGGCTACCAAAAGTTTAATTTGGATATTAAGAGTTTATGTAACAGAAAATTGTTACTTGGTTCAGTGTATTGAAACCATATTGCCACACAAAGTTTTATTTAGTTATCTTTTGTATAGGGACAAGTCACACACCACAGCATTTATAGCCTGAGCTAATTTGCAATGCCCGTCCCTAGCTGGGCCTTAAGATACAAAAGACTCAGCAACAAAAAAAACAAGTAACAGTGCAAAGTACAAACAACAATAAAAATACAGACAAGACACAAATGTCAACACATAATTAGCACTATAGACTAGGAAGCACCAAATTATGCATGACTGCATCACTGATTCCTTTTTAAAAACTGTTTCATTTTGAGTTTAAAGTGATCTAAATCAGAATCCAGTTTAAGTTCTGTAGGTAAAGAATTCCACATGTTAATGCCACGGACAGAAAAGGCCGTTTATCTAAATGAGGATTTACACAGGGGAACTTTACAATTCCCGTTGGCTGCTCCACGTGTTACTGAGCCAGAATCTCTGAGTGGAACCACGAGGTCACCGAGCACCTGGGAAGCCTGATTATGTAGGAGTTTATGGATGAGTTTGAAATTGGCAAAATCAATGAAATAATCAAAAAAAACATATTTATTTTCTGAAGAACATGGCAATGCTCTTATTGCTTTCCTGTCTGAACTTTCATCGTTATAAGAGGCTTAGTTATTATAGATGCTGCTTGTGACCAAGAGATTACATAGTGACTTAAATGTAAAAAAATCATAGCATGCATTAAACTGTTTGCAGCATGAAATGGGAGACAGTCCCTGATAAGTCTAAATGTATAAGTTTACTTTTGCAACCCTGTTCACCATCTTAACATGCTCTTAGAATTTTTGTATATGAGGCCAAAGTATTTTACCTCTGAGACCTGTTCGGTATGCTGTCCATTAATATTTAGATTTAACACATTAGCTTCTGTTGATGACCGAGCCCGGGCAGAAAAGCAAACTGACACCACAGTTGTTTGGAAGCTGCCAGAGCAGTTTTAGCAGATACATGTATGATTGTATCATCTGCATACATCTGAAAACCTGCTCCAACACCTGACTGTGATAAGTCATTAATATATAAGATAATGCCGGGTACATACTACACAATATGGCCTGATTATAGCCAGACGCAGCATGTGTCATAGTAGACGACAACTGACGCCACGTCTGGGACCCCCCTACGACAATTTGAATTTGAATTCCTTTTTTACTTAATTTCTACTTTTACTTACCACAACCACAGAGGCTCCCAGCTTCATTTGAAACAGACTACATTATATGCGGGAAGTTATTTATTATTCCCTCTGTATTTTTATATTTTTACTCTTTATCCGCTCCCGTTTGCCTTGATAAAGTTAGTGCATTGTGCCATCATTTCAAACTCAACACTTCCTGTATCTGTAAAAAAAAATTTAAAAGCTCACTATAACTTCGGTCGAGAGAATCCCTTCTTTTTTAAATAGGATTTTATTTTGAAACATTTCCTGGAACTTGTTGTGGAGGATTCAGTGATTCAATTGTAGTTCCTGCCATCTGGTGGCACTTTTTACGTTACTACGACAACATTTCGGCTGGGACATGAACAGACACAGTGACTGAAATAATAGTAATAATGATAAAAATGGGACAAGAATAACGTGATGACATCACACAGATCATGAAAGACGACCGGGGATGATTGGTGTGGAACATCGTGTGGTGTGTCATGTCTGTCGGCCGAGTCACGGCATGAATTTATGACTCCACACTTACCTAATCTGACATCGTGACCATCAGAAAGGACAGAAATATCATGTAGTGTGAGCCCGGCATAAAAAGAAGGGGACCAAGAACAGAACCCTGAGGTACTCCTGCTCCAGTCTGTAAAAGAGAAGACTTCAGAAGAAATATCATGTAATATGCTGTATTGATTTTTCCGGTGACTAATATATGTGCATTGTCAAAGATTGCTTTTCCTTGCTGTATTACACCCATTATTATCACATGTGTATATGCTGGAAGGTTTTGTGCATCCAGACATGTCACGTAACATTGGGAAACAAAAAAACAAAAATTTACTCGGATAACAACGTCATTCTAACAACAGCTATTTGTGTGTTTCCCATCAGGAGCTGTCCCAGTCATCTCATCTGATCTGAAACACCATCATCACATCTACTGATCTTCCAGCATGGCTAACACAGACTCCGTCAATGTGCGGGTCCTCTCTCTGAACTGCTGGTCAGTGGCTGTGGTTTGCGTGATTCTTAATGCACTGGGCTTTTTTTGTCCTTATACATGGATGCAAAAACAGTGTCCCTATTTTCTCTGTTTCTTTCTCAGGGGGATCCGCTACCTTAGCAAACACTGTCTTCAGCGCTATGCCATGATTGGAGATATGTTGTGCAGGGAAGAGCATGATATTGTCTTACTGCAAGAGGTTGGTGGAAGCCATCTTACAAAGTTTTAAAGTTGCAAAGTCACTAATCTGATCCAGCTTGCGTGCTCTGTAGAATTAGGTGTTTTCTTGAGTTATAAATCTTCTTGTAAACTTGTATGATCAATATAAATAATGCAAAGATGGTTCTAATTTTCGAGTGACGATTGATTTATTTTTCTTTCAGGTGTGGAGTGAGAAAGACTATCTCTCCTTGAAAAAGAAACTCGCCTGTTGTCATCCTCACTCTCATTATTTCAAAAGGTAACCAAGGTTTCCTCATCACCCCAAGGTTGCTGAGCAGTCTTCTCTGAACCCTTTACCTCTGGTCGTCTTGCAATCTCTGATTAAAATTCATGAGGAAGTTGTCATATTTTCAAAAGGCTGTCTGTCAGAAAAATGTACTTGCATGGCGTTGATCCAAAGACCCCAAACTTAACTGAAGCCTGGGCAAGACCTTAAGGATTAATTCATGCAGCTTAATTCGTTCTTGACCTCCATACCAAAGCATGAGACGGCCCTACCTTTCTAATCCCCTCTGCAGCTCACAAAAATGTCAACTCTTGTAGATAAGTTCTCACATCTACTACAGATAAAACATTCTTACTTTAGAGTAATGTAGATCTATATGGACACCAGGGGTGTGACATGTTTCTTCAAACATTTAGGTCCTACTGAAGGTGGTGTAGTGTGGGAAACACAACTTCTGCTCATGTTCTGTTTTTGCTCTCATTCTCCAGCGGAGTCATCGGCAGTGGACTCGCCATTTTCTCCAAACACAGAATCCATGATACATTTCTTTTTCGCTACTCACTGAACGGTTATCCTTACATGGTAAGTCTGTAGAGCCTGAGACACAGATAGTTTTGTGCTGTACGTTTCAAATATGGCTTGAGGAAAGTGAAGAACAGTAAACATTTAAAAAAGAGCCTCATTATTTGCCAAAAAAAATTATTCATGTAGCACTTTTACACAACAGTTAGCAAAGTTTCTCCTAAAAGACATAGAAGCAAGAGACGCATGGTGCAATAAAATGTAAATAAGATTAAAATAAAGAGCCATTAAACAGACGAATCAATGGCAGTAAAAGGACAGAATTAAAACAATTTAGAAAGGCATTAAGACAATGTCATTCTAAAACAGTGTGTTTTAATAGAGTTTTAAACAAAGATGAGGAGCGAGTTCGCTCCATGTCCTCCAGCAGTTTGTTCCAGAGTTGAGAGGTGGAGACTAAAGGTCAGGGGTCTGTTGCACAATACACCCTAAGTTAAATTTTTCCTTATAGTCCTGGTTAAGGTTCCTCAAAATAAAATCAGTTGCAAAAAAACACCCATAAGCCTCCCCTAAGATTTCCATAATATGTTCACTTCAGTATTTATGGTTTTCTCCTCGTCTTGGTCCTACACTTAAGGAATTCCTCGACCGTTGCACAAAAGGCCTTAGCAACTAGGGATGCTCCTGGCGACTAATTTCCCTGAAATGAAAATTTTAGTTAAGACTAGTTGACTAGTCCAAAAAAAAAAAGGTCTCAAAAAATCTCACTGTAAAACATACAGGAAACCAAGGGTGAGTGTAGAGAGTGGATATGTGATTCTTTAGAGTTACATCCTCTCTTTGCAGAATAACATACCTCCTTTTCTCTCCTAACTTATTGAATTCTTCATTATATTTAGGCCCACCATGGCGACTGGTTTGGAGGTAAAGCTGTTGGGATGGCTGTCTTAAGCATTGGCAGTCTGACTGCAAACGTCTACGTGACTCATGTAAGGTTTCCTAACATCAGCTCTCAGCCTCACCTGTGTATTATATACAGTTCCTGATGAATGTGCTGTTGTCTCTGTATTGATTTCAGCTGCATGCAGAGTACTGCAGAGACAAGGACTCTTATCTACCTCACAGAGTGGTTCAGGCCTGGGAGCTGCAGCAGTTCATTCGGTAGTGTGTCTTTGTTATTTCTGCACAAAGACTTTGAGCCATAATTTGGTTACTGTGGTGTGTATTTGCATATTTTTCACAGTTGAACCTCATTTGTTTGTATTTGGAGTTAACGAAGTGTTTAAAGCAACACAGCAGTCCCTTACAGTATTCCTAACAAGTACTTATGTTTTAATTAAGTTAGTTGGTAACATAGTGTTTCTCTCTGCCTCACAGCCACACCTCAGCTGGAGCAGATGTGGTGATTCTAGGTGGTGACCTCAACATGCACCCTCAGGACCTCGGCAACAGACTACTGAGGTCTTACACTGGACTCAAGGACTCTTATTTAGAGACGGCTAAATTTGATGTAGGTGGTAGGTGCTGTGTGGATTAATTTGTCTGCTAAGTAATTAAAGGAGAATTCAGCTTTTAACTGGGAACTTATTCTTATAGTTTTGGCCATAAATGATACAGACACAGAGCGAAACACGTCATACTGTAAAACCACTCACACCAGGGGGAAACAGTCAGTGTCACAAAATGCAAACAAGGGCTCAACTGCTTACAACATTAGATTTCAAAAGTCAAGGGATAATTTTAGCACCAGAGAGGAAAAGATGTGTTGACAAACTCAGAGCTGTACAATTTGTGTGGGCCAGATTAAGAGGCATAGTTGTGCACTAGTTAGCATTGTCATGTCGTCTCACAGCAAGACAGTTCCTCTTTTTAGCCTGAGAGGGAGGTTTGAGCCCTGGGATGGGGGAGCCCTTCTGTGCAGAGTTTGCATGTTTTCTCTGTGTCAGCGTGGGTTTTCTCCAGGTACTCCAGGTTCCTCCCACAGCCCAAAGACATGCAGGTTAATTGGTGACTCTAAATTGTCCGTAGGTGTGAATGTGAGTGTGAATGGTTGTCTGTCTCTATGTGTCAGCCCTGTGATAGTCTGGTGACCTGTCCAGAGTGTACCCTGCCTCTCTCCCAATGTCAGCTGGGATAAGCTCCAGCCCCCCTGTGACCCCCAACAGGATAAGCAATTACGGAAAACGAATGAATGAAGCATCCCTATTCTCCTCTAATTTTGTCTTCTTGAAGGCTCAATTTTTCTGTTCAGCAGCTTATACAGTAAACACTTGGTTATGGGTTCTTTACCCTGTTGGTGTTGCATCCCACCACACAGCAACTTTTAGGTATTTTTCTGTTGTTTGGTAGTAGCAGAAGGAAGTTACAAGGAAGCATCTTTACGCAATACAAAGTCAGTGGAGAGAGGTAAATTGTTTTCTCCTCGGGTGTGGGCAGGACTTAATTGTGCTCTGTCTGTATTGGTTATGATCACATTTTAAGTTGTACAGTTTTTTACATTTTGTGAGGTAAATGGTGAAATACGGGGCAGCACGGATGGCTCGCTGTCAGACAGGCTTGAAAACAAGTCTCTAATTAGCCACATTCTCATAACCATTTATGTTGATATAAGAGCGAGGTCATGTATCCTAGAAGTCTGATACTATCATCCATGACACTGAAAAACATCTTTCCTGCACAACTTCGATAAGCACACTTCGCCACGACATTGTAAAGTCATAACCAGCAGTGTCATTGTGGCTTCATGTCTCAAGAACTGAGCTAGTGGGTAAAACATTGTCATAACTGACAGAAATAATGGTCAACACTATGAAAGTGAGGCTGACTGTGAAGACTTCCTTTTAATATGTTTCTTGTTTTCTAAATGTTACAAATTGTTTTCTGTTGCAGGGGTGTGAGGACGGTATCACTTTAATAGCTGACAACCCTTTCATCAATAAAAAGGAGCTTTGTCCATTTGAGAAGGGAATTCGGATCGACTACATCCTGTTCAAGGTGAGGGAAAGCTTTGTGTCGTCACACCTGCTGTGTTCACTGTGTATCTCCTCTTGTTTCAGTCATCAGATGAATTTATAATGTGTTTTGACTCACAAAGTGCATTTCCCCCTTTTCTTTTAATCCCCAGGGTTCTCCCAAAACAGACATCTACTGTGATTTCATGTCCACCACCAACGGCTCCGTCCCTGATCATCCATTCCCGTACTCCGACCATGAGGCTCTGACTGCTGGGTTTAGGCTGGAGACACACACTCCAACTGAGACAGGAAGTGACAGGCAACCAAAGAATCAGGACTCCGCTGCAGGTATGTGTCATAGACAGGATACCAGAGTGGCTCGAGGGACGCCAGTGTCACTTTGGTCCAGACTGAAATATCTCAACAGTTATGAATAGATAAGTATGACGACATTTTGTGCAGACAGTCGTGGTCTTTTGAGGATGAAGTGACTGATTTTGGTGGTTCCCTGACTTTTCCTGTGAGGTTCGTGGTTTTGAGTGAAATGGCTGTTATTGAATGGATTGCCATGAAATTTGGTCCAGACATTTACAACACCTGTACAGATGTGAAGCCCTGACTATATCTGACTGACCTTTAAGGAAAGTTGCTGTCTTGTAATTTTTCCTCTGAAAATATTAAACATATAGTAAACACAAATTATTTAGTCTCTGTAGTTGAGGGGACGGGTCTGCTCTGCTCGAGGTTGAGCCATGAACATAAATTACAGATCGCCTGTGAAGCATTTTATAATTAAAACAACTGGAGACTGTAAACAAACGGATACATGACTCTGATAACATTTTTAATAAATAGGCATCAGCTCTATCAGGATGTGAGTGCTTGTGTGACTTCCTGTACAAACTGAAGGCCGCTGGAAGCTGTCCGACCTCACCTCGGCTTTTTGTTACCGCTTCCTGCTGCTGCTGCCTGATCTTGTCCACTTTCCAGACGAGGCACAGTTCATTTTGAATGAGCCCATTGTCACTGTGAGCACGTCACCCTCTAACTCAAAGTGCTGCTAAACTTTAATCCCCATTCGACATGTATTTATTTTCTCTAGGTGAGGTGGGGTGATATAATATTACCTGAACTGGTCAGTCATTTTTTTATCCTGTCCAGAGTGTGTATGTAGGTAATGTTTCACCCCTCCCCCAGTAATAATCACAGCTGTTATTACCTTAATTTTCTGCAAATTTGCTTGTCCTTTTGTAATTTAAATCTCTTTCAGAGCATCATCCTTTAAATCTGGCGGAGCTTGGCAGGATTTTGATCAATATGTCATGTAGTTAGATTAATATCTTCATGAGTTTTTATCATAAAAGCATGACAGAAATATTGACAGAAACCTCTTAATTTACACTTTCCAATGTGTCCACTGCAAAAATGTCATTTAGATAAAACATACAAGTTTTTAAATTACTCAGTCACAGCAGAGATAGAGCGCAAAGTGTCCACCCTCCCCTCCAACCGCCGCTATTCATACGAAAATGACATGTTGCTGTCATACTTTCGGTTTTATGTAGGCGCATCTTCAAATCTGAATAATGTGTCCTTTAAATAGTGAGAAACCGTCAGCTGCATTGGACTGAAACTGGCAACCACAGTTGTGCTGCGCTGTGCACAACTTTGTGCCAGGTGTAAGTAGGCTTAACTGGGACCCAATACGACAAAATAATTCTAATAATAATAATAAAGTTATCAAGAGAGCAAGACCCTGTAAAAGCACATCAAATGTACTGATGTAATGTCAGCTACAGGTTGTAGTATTCTCCTTTGGCATCATCCTGCAGAATGTCTGAAGTAAACCATCAGTCAACTCTTGAAAGATCTCTGACTTCCTCTTTGTCTCTTCACTCAGTCATGTCTTCAGTGAAGGTGGCCGAGCTGGTGGACATCGTGACAGAGGCCCGTACAGAAGTCAAAGTGGGTCTGCACTGTGCTGAGAGGATGCGCTACACAGCCACACGCACCGGAGTGATGGGCTTGGCTCTGCTGTTCGTGGAGCTGGCCATCGCCGCCGTGCCCTGGTTGGCCCTGGGAGCAGAGCAACCTTTCCCTCGTACATCCTTCTACCTGCTGGCCGCATTGTGCTTCGCCATCCTGCTGACCACCTTCCTGCTGTACATCTTCTACACAATGGAGCTGAAATCTCTTCAAGGGGCTGAAGACCAGATGAGACTGGCTGTAGGAAGTCTGCAGGAGAAGCTCAGGGGCTTTCCTTTGGCTCAGCCCCACAGCGCCCAGCGGAGGCCCCCAGAGGGTCATGAGCCCAGCGCTTTTGACCCAGAGGAATAAAACAGGAGCCAACTGGGTCAAAGTGGGCTCACTGGAAGGAAGCCTTTGAAGTGAGCTTAAAGATGGATGTTTGAAGGAGGCATTTATCCTCTGAATGTGTTTTATGCTCTTGAGATTAAGTACTGCTGAATGAAGGAGTTCTTGAAGGACGTTTCTGAAAGTCGTGCAGGACACATGCTTTGACCTTTTTTTATACTTTTTATATACTCGTCTTTAGCCTTTTTTTACCCCTAGACCTCCCTCTATGCACCTCAGCAAACACGCTTCCTGTTACACAGTGTGATACATCTGTGCTACTGCTGTTCTTAAAGGTCACGAACTTGACCGTTTGTGTTTCTTAAGCATGAGGTCTGACCTGCATTCCACCCACCAGTAGTTTTAGTGGGACCAGTTGTTTCTGTTTAGAATTTCATGCTTCCCCTTTTGTGATTTGGAGAGTCCACCAAATAATCATAGATGGTCCAGACAGCTTGCTGCTTTACTTTAAGGTCCAGTGTGTAGGATTTAGTGTGTTTTTATTTAGTGTATAATCACCTGAAAATGAGAGTCGTATGTATTCGTTACATTATTACGATCTAATTATTTTTACATAGGGAGTGAGTTCTCGTCCTCGGAGATCGCCATGTTGCACCACCATGTTTCTATGGTGGCTTAGAATGGACAAACCAAACATTAGCTCTAGACAGGGCCAATCGTGTTTTCATGTCAGCCACTGTAGTGAGCAGCCCTTCTGCGATGAGCCAAACAGTGTCGGGAAAACACTGATTTTTAATGTGAAACTGCTTTATTCAGTGTTTTTACCAGTTTAAATCAATGTTTGTTCTAGAGAGGAGGAGACCTGTGGTAATTCAGCTCCCAAAAAATCTCCTGAATGTCTGGATTTTAAGTTATCAGACTAAAAAGATGAGTAAAAATTAGCAGGTGCTGGGCTAGCAGCCTGTCAACGAGCCGAACTGTGTTGGTGAAACACTGATTTGTAACGTGAAACTTCTATAATTCAGTGTTAACAGTTTTAGGATCTATGCCAAAAATGTACACCAAAAAATACTCAATAAGGCTTTTACCTCACCATCTGCATCGCCGATTTCTCCTCTCCAAAATGTCTGTAAGCATGGCTCAAAGTTTTTCCCATCAAGTCTGATTTTATAGATCACAACTGTTGCGTCGGAAGTGGTGCTTGCCTCTTTCAGGCCTTGTTTTGTGCGTAGGCAATGTTTATAAATGAGAGCCCTGGTCCGTTTGTACTCTGCGGGTAATTCAGCTCCCAAAAAACCTCCTCAACATCTGGATCTTAAGTTATCAGAGTAAAAAGGTGAGCACACATTAGCAGGTGCTGGGCTAGCAGCCTGTCAATGAGCCGAACTGTGTTGGTGAAACAACGATTTGTAACGTGAATCTGTTTTATTCAGTGTTTTTACTGGTTTAAATCACCTGGTCCATTTGTTTCGGAGAGGACGAGACCTCTGCGGATAATCCAGCTCCCAAAAAACCTCCTGAACAATAAACACTGAAGGAATCCTCACAGGGAGTTCACATGTGGCACTTAGTTGGTTGCAGTTTTTAACCTCACCACTAGATGGCACTAAATCCCACACACTGCTCCTTTAAAGAAAGAAGCCCAGTGGTCTCCACTGCACAGAGGATACACACTCCGAATGTTAGAGGTTTACATTTCTTGGTCTGTAACATTTTTTCTCTGCAGGACAGATTGTCAACAGCCTCCAGTAGCACTTAGAAACAAAGACTCATGCACAGGTTCAGACTTTTCAGTAGCTCCCCTGTAGGAAAAGGGACAGACTCTATCTGCATGCCTCACGTTCACTGCCTTGTACTGGAAAGTATTTTTATGTTAGACAATCGACACTCCACTTTCCCATAATATAACAGTGGGATTTTACATAAGATATTCTGTCATGTACTTCTAACTTTGACCTAATTTGATCACGTGAATTATTTAAAAGAAAAAACATCATGTACTGTAGAAGAATGTAAATGCTTAATATATCTTTAGTGTGCAGTGCACTTAGCTGACTAACCAGGTAAACCACTTCCTTTTATGTAAGATAGGACATTACTTAATGATACATATCGCTGTGAGACAGTGTTATGACTCATTAGAAAGCAAACAATGATTGATCATTTTTAAACCTTTAACCTCAATATTAGAAAAGCATTTGGTAGTTGTTCATTTCATAAAGGTAAAATAATTTAAATAAACACCTGATGTTCATTCCAACAGGAAAACTGTAATGGGCATGACTATGAAAGCAATAATAAAGACTTTCTACTCACGCTTCCTGACTGCTCTGCCTCCAGACACATGTGACAACTGCAGACATTCACTGATACACAACAGGTCTGCACCTTCACCACTAGAGAGCGATGTGAGTTCATCTGACTGACGAGCTTTACAAGGAAAAGCATGAAACAGCAAACTGGCTCTTCACCAGCAACCACAGGACAAAGGTGCAAGAGCATGTGAGGGGAGGTGACGGGCAAATTTACCAGATTACACCTACGTGCTGGCACAAGTACGCCCTCGAGGCAAGAGCACCCATGGGTGTGGTACTGTAAAACTTTTCATTTGTTCCCACGGCACAGGGTTAAACACACACCAGATACAAACTAGAGAGAGAGAGAGAGAGATTGATAACTTTATTGTTCACCTCACATGTAGCTTCATTACCTGCAACAAAATGAAGAACAATAAGTTGGTGGAGTTACACAGGCATTATAAGACTGCATGACACGATGAATACATATGCTGTATGTAAATTAGGCTACACTACACGTCATGCAAATTACTCGAGGCTGTAGGTCTTTTTTGTAAACTACAAAATCAGTTCTTGAAATTTCGGAAAAGGTTGTTAAAGTGATTTTACTGGAAGGTGAAAATAATGACACTGTGCACTTCAACAGAACAGGGTATAAATCAGGAGCTGTTTGGCATGACCTTGGCACGAAACTTGGTACATGATCCACACAGCTCTCTGACAGTTTCAGTAAGTATGTAATGTTTTTATTTTCTACTAAGTAAGCTACCTCTGTATTTTTACTTGCGCATTTTCAGCAAGAGTCACATTTCTCTCACTTGCATGATATGTAAGTGAAGCTTATCCTTACCTGAAATATTTTAACTGCATCCTATTATATTCTTTTATACTGTTTTAGCATTGTTGCAAATTAAAAGAAGCTACTCGCCCACTCTTAGCTGTTTTTTGTCTTGCAGTGTCTCCTGATAGCATCATCTTCAGACTCTTGCCAGGTACGGAGGCGTATCGTGCACAATGAACAGGTCTGAACTCACTTTTACTTATCGCTTCCTCGGTGTGATTACAGTCTACATTTACACTCTTTGTGTTACATTTCCGTATGACGGAATCTAGTCTATCATGTGTGTTGATTGAGCAACATGTAATTAAAGTCCTGTGTTGTGACGTGGCTGTTAATGAAAGGCTGTATTTAACTTTACACGACTTTAAAACATGATGAATTGAGCTTGTTGGCTCTCAGACCTCAGGAAAGTTTCTACACCAGCAGCGGAAGAAGTATTTACTATAGATCAGTGATAGTCAGTTTACGGCCCACAGGCCAGACAGGGTGCCAGGTGGCCTGCCAACTATTTTGTAGTTCACAAGTTGATTCACCCTCAGAATTTTTTTATTTTTTGTACTTAAAATATAAATAATGTACCAGAGTCTGTATAAAAGCATCAGCATGTTTAGCGAAAATCAAGTGCCAGGGGAGGATTCCCTGGACCCCCTGACAGAGGCTCGGGCTAATTATTTTTTATTATTATTAATTATTAATGTTATTTACAGGCCTCCTGTCATTTTGTAAAAGTGTCTCCCATGCAAAGCAAGCTGAGTAGCCCTGCTGTACTTCCTTTACTAAATTTAAATATAAAATGTCTCATTTATATGTGAAAGTTTTGCATTCAAAGTTTTATTGCAGGTATTATCTGCAAAATATAGAGTATTTATATTTTCTGCAACTTGTATTCCACTGTATTTCAGATGGAGATAATGTACTTTTTATTTTTATTTTTATCGCCCTGTTTTAGTAAGTTTGCCAAGAGGGAACTTTAGATATTGGTCCCTAGATTATGTTCACAGAGTTTCATGCAGATCGGTCAAACTTCCTAGGAAGAGATCGATTTTAAGTGTTTTTCAAAAAATTCAAAATGGTGGAAAATCTATATAACCGGAAGTTATGGGTTCTTGAGGCAAATTTGTTCCTCATGAGGAGAGGCATCTCTGTGCAAAGTTTCATGTATCTACAACATACGGGGCATGAGATATGCCCATTCAAAGTTTGCAATTTCAATCGGTTGCTATAGCGCCCCCCTTTGGCCAATTGATGTAATATTGCTTCATTCGCATCCTCCCATGACCCTCTACCACTGTGCCAAATTTCACATGGACTGACCAAGTCAGTGAGGAGAAAAACGTGGAACAGACAGAGTTTTTGTCATATATAGTAAAATATAACTATGTAAAATATGATGCATTGGTAAAGGTTAAAGTGTTATTTTCCAGCCATCTTGGCTTGTGACCTCTTACAAAAAAGGAAACGTGTTGTTATGTGTCAGATGTGATGATGATGAGCGTTTTATTATGCAGCCTAAATCAATGTTGGATGCCTGTCAAGTGCCAAAGTGATAAAATGATCGAATATTATACAGTATCTGATATTTCACAAATAAATATAAGTTTAAGTCCAGGAAATTAACGCAAATTTGTGTAGCAGAACTTTTTCTCTGTCCTGCTCCATTATTAACCTCCATTCTAACTGCAGGCTGGGAACCACTGACTGGACTGAACTATATAACTGTATATGAAGTGGTTCAAAGAAGCTTCACCAGTGAGGCTACAGCGATAAAAACAAAACTACTTAGAGGTGATCCATCTGTATTTAAAATCTGATCACTGGGGCGGCTGTGGTTCAGGGGTAGAGCAGGTTGTCCACTAGTGTGTGAATGGTTACTGAGTCGCAGGTGGCACCATGTATGGTAGCCTCGACCACCAGTGTGTGAATGTGTGTGTGAATGGGTGAATGTGACATGTAATGTAAAAGCACTTAGAGTGGTCAGAACACTAGAGAAGCACTATACAAGTGCAGTTAATTTACCATAATGTCATAAACAATAAATCGGTCACTTTACTGCTGATACTTTTCTACATTTTTCTAATAATACTTACGTACTTTCACTTAAGTAGAATTTTAAATGCAGAGCTTTACTTGTGATGCAGTATTTTTACATTTTTATATGTGTTATTAGAATTTGTTTGTATTATTGCTTTCTTTGGATTTCTGTTGAAGCTGACGCAGGTGGCTGGTAGACAGTTTAAATAATGCATTATTATTTTGTTAATATGTTTATTGAATGTTTTATTTTCCACAAGAACAGTACAACACAAACACATAATATCTAGTAACAAAAACCTCTTAGATCAACAAACATATGCCGGAGGTAACAGGAAGTTGTCTATGTCCCAGGCACAGGTTACAAAAGTTCAGGTTAAAAAAAACTCCCTGTTAAACAATGGCAGAAGAATCAGGTCCAAGATAACTCAGATAAGGCAGCCAGACTTTGCAGAACTGATCTGCTTTGGTATGTAGAACATTTGTAAGATAATCCAAAAGAATCGTCTTAAAAATAAACTTCAACAGAGAGGCCCTGGTCACCAGTCCACTGTGATAGTATTTATTTTCTTGCAGCTAAAGTAAGAATATTGTAAAACCCGTTGTTAGTTGCAGCAGTTACATTTCTACTAAGGTGGCCCAGAATCAAAGACACTGGATCCATTTCTAAATCCCTGTCAATTATTTTCTTCATTTCACATACTTCAGACCAATATAATGTAATATTTAACACGACCATTGGCAGTGGGTTAAGGTCAGTAGCTTAAGGTAGTTACAACAGACCCTTGTGCACGCTATTGTGCACATATCGACATATATATTACCCAACAATCATCATTGCATCTGTGAATACATATTCTGTCATAAAGTCAGAATATGTGACCATTCCTTGGATTACACGGCAAGATATTTAAATATTTATTTACTCAGTGAGGGTACACCGATCAAAAGAATCAAAAGTGTGTTTTTTAAAAATTATAAATATTGTTTTAGTAGAATAAAGTGATGTTGTGTCAGTATGCGGGGTGTCGTGAAAAAAGTGTCATAACACATAATTGATATGTTATTTGAAGCCTAATTTTTATACAAATAATAATCATACTGGTTTAAATAAATGATTTTATTTGATTTCCTGATCTCTGCTGAGCAACAGTTTTGTGTGAAAGCAATTAAAGGCCTGTCCCAAATATAAGCCTGTTGAGCTCAGTGGTTTAAGCAAATAATAGCCTGAGCTATTAAGTGAAGTTTTACAGTTGACTATAGTGTGAAGAGAAAGAGGACTGAGGCCCCATGAGAGCTGAAGTTGACTAGAAAGAGAACTGAGTCCTCTTTCAGATGAACTGACAATGTGAACAATGTGTTGGTCCACTTTGCGGTGCACTTTAGGGGTGTTTTCACACTTTTCACCTTTTCAGCCCTTTAAAGGTGAGATCATCATGAAACTTCCTCAGTTGATTACTTACAATAGTATGGAAAAAAAAATGTATTACAATTTTTTTTTAAATTGTAATGTTTAATTATGCAAATTAGGCAGTATCTCACTAAATATGTGCTAATTTGTAAATATTTCAGGAAGGTAAATCTGAACATCTGATAAAGCCAGGTGCAAAATTCTTTTTGCATTTTGTTGACATATAAGATAAAAAAAAATTACAGAAGGATTTAAGGATATCAAAATATACTATCCATAGCTTTAAAAAAAATCAATTCTCGCCATATTTTTGGGAATAAAATGTCACATAAATCAAGCTAGGAATGATTTATTAACAAATCCCTCTGTAAATATCTTCAGAATATAGCTAGGTGTATAACTGGAAAGTCTGGTGTACATAGGTGCTGCAGAGGCTGATGTTCGACTTGGAGTGTGACAAAAAACTAATTTTTGACAAAATGGCATTCAAAGATTTACATAACATAACATAATACAAGTAGACAAAATGTAATAAAATAAACGTCTAAATGTATAATATGAATGTTTTCTTTATAGCAGTTTGAAAGAATACATATTCAAGGAGTAAACTAGCCCAAAATCTCAAAATTGACCACTGCATGAAAAATCAATGTTTTTGCCTGCCATGTCTCACCTTGGACTCAGAGCTGCGAATCAACATTTTTTTGCGCGTATGTGAACACTCCAAGAGAACTCAGACCTTCACCAGTGCCTTGTGAACACAAAGCGCTCCAGGTTCACTTTGCTCTTTGCCATTGTATTCAGCCCTCTGGATCACATGCTGTTGACCTGGGATGCTTGAAAAAACAGACGAAACGACGTCGGCCTGTAACGCTTGTAAGGACACAGGATGAGGAGTAGTTTGGTCCACGGAAGATACTGCACGTCTCCAGATGTGGACTGTAGAATACATCAAACAGCAACAGTCTGCAGCACAGGAACACTGAGGTTTCTTCCAGTTTTAAGTTCATAACCACACTCAAGATAATAGTGTGAAGAGGACTGAGTTCGCTTTGTTTCAAAAGACTATATGTGAAAACGCCCTTAGTTCACTAGACCAGAATTCTTCCTAGAAAAGTTTTGCTGTCATTCAGCTTCTCCCAGTGTGAAGCAACTGGCAGCTTACAAAGCTGTTATAAAAGCAGCCTCCCCAACACTGAGTGTGAACACCTTGAGCTGTATTTGTATAAACAGTAACTCTGTGTTTCTTCCAGGAGCTTTTAGCCAGTGGCAAACACTTGAACCAGTTGCACATGTCCACCATACCATGCAGTGGTGTTCGTCAGAACAAGTAAGGAGAAAGTACAGAGTGTAGCAGGTCTATTGTTGCAGTGTGGGCGCGGCCTAATGGCGCAGGGCAGGGCAAGGTGCGCTTTTATTACCTCTGAAAACACCGTCACTCCTCAGCTGTCTGCCTTCCTGTGCGAGCCTCCTCTGGATGCTGTCGGCCCACCCGCACCGTCTCACAAAATGACGAGTCTGGAGCCGCTCAAAACGGTCATTTCCATCGGGAACGTGGACGACACGTCTCTGGCTCTGCCCTCTGGGAACCAGTACGGATCAGGCCAGCAGCGCGTCCTGGAGCAAGTGCAGAGTATCAGGAGGACCAAGTCGAGACAGTCCAGCAGCAGCAGGACTGGATCCTCGTCTTTATCTCCAACATGTAAGACACACACACACACACACACAGAGCTCATTACAGGGAGGAGAGGTTTTTATTCTGCAATTAAACACATTGATTTTTCTACAAACTCAATTTTAATTTGGAGTGGTTTTAGTATTTATCCACCAGGATTCAGTATTTCTCCCTCAGAACTCCTGGCAGTAAAGAGAGGGCTTTGAAACACCATTTTAAATCTTTATGTTTGGAAATTAAGTGTAATACTTTATATAAATTTTCCATAATTTACCAGAAAGTTTTATTTATTTAATTAAAGAATGATGTAATCTGGTACTGGAGACAAAGTTTTTGTTGCAGCTCTTGATTTTCTGGTTAATTTCCTATAAAGTCCTGCTCCATTTAAATTAAATTCAGCAGGAAATATAGTTAAACAGCAAACTAAGAAGAGTAAAAATAAGTAGCAAAATGTGTCAAGACTCACATTTATATTGTTATTCTGGTGGAGGGTTGAAAGGGCTGTGACCCATGATTACTTCTAAAAATCCTAGCTTCAGTCAGGAGGGCACAGAGGTCATGTCCTCCAGTTGTATCTATTTGTTTATGTATCTCTGTTAATTTGTTCGGGGTGTTTTCTGCAGCCTGGGGCAGTGTGCACAAGGGTTAAAAAACACAGTTTAAACTTTCATGTTGGGGAAAAAAAACAACTGAAAGTGAAACTGAACATTTAGGGGAAAAAATCCAATTACAGAAAGTTAAAATAAAAAAATTTACACACCTTGTTTTTGATTTGGGGTCAGTGCTTTCTAAAGGTGGCGAGGGGTCATGTCTTTTAAGGAACCCGTGACCTCATCATTTCTAAAATCCTGGCTACGGCCCTGGCCTACACATCTCGAAATCTTACTCACTCCAAAGCATGTTGATTCAGTGACTTACATGAAAAAATAGAAATAAAAATGTCAGGAGTAAAAAGAAAGCTGCATTCTCGGAACCCATCGGCTGTATTCGGCGTCTGACTTCCGAGTCTGTATATAGAGACTAAGAAAGCTGAGACTTGTCTGTGTATGAAATCTGGGATGAAACATTGTTAAAATCAGAATAATTTATTTTTTTTAATTTATTTTAACGTCTTCCATGTCCGGAAATCATTTTAAGTCAAATTGTGTTTTAATTGAATATAGGGAGCACGTGATAACTGATTATACAGTGGCAATAGAATATGCTGATTATCAAAAATCTGATTTTTGATAATCAGCATTATCAATTAAAGCAGTCGTTCCCAACTGGTCCAGATTTCTTAGTCATTAGTTTGAGGTCTCACAGTTTTATGCATTCAGCGTCACACTTGTGTTTGACCATGTCATTGAGCTAGTTTGCTGTCTCTGTCAAGTAGCTGTCTGTTAGTCACTCACTCTACAGCAGGAAGCAACACTTCAAAATAAAAACTCAGTGATGGAAATTTACTGAGCTTAAAAATAAAATGTGTTTTTTACAAACTTGACACAAACTTTCGGACTACAACCCACCAGTTGGGAACCACTGGATGAAGCAATGTTGTGCCCCTGTGTTCTGATATCTTTCAGTCTAAAATGTTGACTGCTTTCAGTTTTATTGTTTTAGATCTTAAATTCCTTTTTGATACCATACACACAAAGATTTTTCTTTTTCTTTAAAGATAATAAATGAATGATCTCATGTACTGAACGCATGATAACAGCTGATAACCTTCCACATCTCCACAGCTCCACACACGTACCCCATAGCTCCTTCACATGACTCCGTGTTCATAGAAGCTCCAAAGTCACAGTCCAGCATATCTAATGGAGGCGCCTTCTTTGGGAACGGCTTCGCTAGAACTGTGAGTCATGGAATTTATTTATGTTTTTATCACACAGATGTTGAAAGTGTTGTCATAGAGGAAATGATGTGATGTGAGACAGGCCTGTAGCGACCACGCAGGAGTTTCATTCTGCAACAAATCACACATGGTGCTTTGTGAAGCTGATTTTGGTTTTATTTAATATTTTTATTAGCATTTTTACAGTGTGAGGAAGTTTTTAAACCATCTTTAAGATTAGGGCTGCATGTAATTTATATTGATTAATCTGACGAACATTTTTCTAATCAATTAATTCATTGTTATCATAAAATGTAAAAAAAAAAATAATACGAAAAATGACCATTATAATGCTCTAGTGGCCAAGTTGGCATCTTGAAAGAGCTTGTTTTGTCTGACTCACTCTCTAGAAGTGAAATGTATTTAATTTATCATATCAAACTATCATATATGATACAGAAAAGTTGCAGGTCCTCACATTTTAAAGTCTGGGACCAGCTAATATTTGGCATTTTTGTCGATTAAAATACATACAGATTCTTTATATATTTTTTGAATAAACAATCAGTTGTCTTGTTGGTGCAATTTTTAAATGAATGAATAAAATATGAACAAAAAAATTAAATAATCAATTTTTTTCATGGTTAGTCAAATATTTCTCAGAGGGGTGTTTTGCACAGGGAGAGTTGTAACTCCAGATGTCAGTATTTTTAAATTCCTGCCCCAGTCTGAGAGAAGCACTGAGGACTGACTTGTAACTCCCAGTAAATCACAGGGAAAGTGTTTTATTTCACCACAATGTGATGCATTATTGTTTCAGAAATAACACAAGAGATGCAGATGATAGCCTGAATTTTGTTTTGGAGTTTAGTATATATTGTATTGTGGGGCCTGATACCAATAATAAGAAAGAGGCTCAACGATTTCATGTCCTCAGTTGACTTTTCTCTCATTCCTTCCTCAAAAACTTGTTTCCAGATCCTTCCAGATCGAGACTTTCTGTCTCCTTACACAAAAATATGTTTACCAGCCTCTCCCATACGAGCTGTCAGCCGTTCATATAACCAGCCCACAGGGCTGCAAGCACTTCTTTCACAATGTGATCTGGCACTGCCGGCTTCATGTCTGTCACTCTGTCTTCTTGTGTACTGGCTGGTGAAATAAGTCTTCATAAGACACGATTATCTTTCATTGCAAACACATGTATTCTTTGGCTCTGCAGCTCCAGTTTGAGAAAAACAACCGGCAACTAGTCAACAACTACGTGGGATCCACTGTGAAGAGGAACACAGGAGCTTCTACCTATCAGTATGAGAGGGGTTACGCCCCCCTGGGCTCCAAGGCAGTCAGTCCAAACAACACCAGCCGCAGCGAGCCGGATATGGCCTGGCAGCGCTCCATGCCAAAACGCTCTGCTCCTCCGCGGGGATTCCTCGCCAACAGGAACACCTACAGAGTGGAGAGGACCAAAAGTCAGTTGATAACAAGCACTGCACCCCAGCCCCCGCCTCAGCTTCAGCGTAACCACACTGTGAATGGCACAGGTCAGGCCAGAACAAAAAGCCAGTTTGTGTGCAGCCAAGCTGAGGTGACCAAAACACTGTCAAAGCCTCCTGCTGTTACTGAGAGCGCTCCGAAGAGCAAAGGAGATTTTGGGTGAGTGCGACTAACATGCCTCATTTTCTGAATTTCAAATGATATGAATCAAATGTGCTCTCAGTGTGTTTGATTAGCATTCAGACTGTATTTTTCCCTCTCAGGTCAAATGACAACAGTGGATTTGCTGACATCACCATGAAGGAGGCTGTGGATTATCTTTCCAGGGTGGATGAGACATACCAGCACTGCGGCGCGTCCTACATACAGCACAACACTTTCATTGACGACAAGGCCAAAGAGGAGGTGGTTGGCTTGTTATCTTTACATCATGCTGACAGACGGCTTATTATTTACGTCTAAGCGTGTGAAAATCTTTGGAAATGGCACCCCATGTCAGTCAAAACTTGTTGAAACTCATAGTAAGTAAACTGATAGTGAACAGTGAGGCCGTTACCAGGGAGAAAAATGTGAGATTTCCTGTGAGTCCCTCATGCTTCATTTGGTAATTTGAATCCTGCATAAGATGGTGGACCGAACCACTAACGGTGAAAACTACTGTATGAACAGGATAAAAATACACTTTGGTAACTTTGGTATTTTTCAACCTGGACCCTGTTTTCCCACATTTTTTTGTGTCTACGTGACTCATGGAGACAATAGTTTTTGATATTTTTCCAGTATTGAGGTACTGGTGTGTCCATTGAGGTACAACTGGCAGTTGCCACACAGGCTACAGTGTAATTATGTGCAATTATGTACCGCCAATGTACGTCCACTATAGCCCAGTTCAGACCAAAGATTCACAATGAGATAAAACATGCAGCGACTTGCAATGCGCCATTTGGCAACATTCTAAAAACCTGCCGGTTCACACCAATGCACCTTGACGAGAAGGCGTATCATCTCTATGCAACAACTCTGTACTAATGTTCTGATTTTCAGCGTTTCAGGTTTATTTTGTGGCTGAATATAATTTGTAGCTTCTTCAAATATGAATGAGGATAGTGATAGTGAGATACTGGCTACAGCTGCATTTGTAGTGGTGATGAAACACAGACAAAAGGACTGAAACAGAGGGCTCGGCAGAAACAGAGCACCTGAGGCAGCAAGCGAACACGCCATCTGTTGTTATTTGGCTTAACCCATGTGCTTCACTACAAGCTGATTGGCTGTAGAAACAGATGACGCGCTTTCAATCTAAAACCATCCGCAGGCGATTTGACCAGCTGAGTTGCAGGTGACACCATCAGCCGGCCTGAGTCGAGCTCAGACCGGCCAGTTCACACTTCTGCAACTTTTCTCTGCAACGTTCTAAAATGGTTTTGTCTTGTTGCCAATCATTGGTCTGAACCGGGCTTCAAAGTGCTTGTTTTCGCCACTGACAGGCTCAGATTGTTTTTATAAAGCCCATTTCCCACTGGACAAAAATCCACTAACCCTCACTAACATCTGGCTTTTGTATTTAATGGGAAAGTCTACAGTCAGAATTCACTCCTGGAGCAATTGACTCTGCAGTAACCTCGGGGTTTTTTTGGCTCTAGCTCTGATCGGCTCCAAACGGCAGAGATGGAAATGCGACACCTGGGTGGACACACAAATTTCATGCAATGACAGGCTGCCACAATATTCCATCCATCTCTGTCCAAGCAGCATTCGAACATCATTCCAAATTAGTCGCTCCTGAGTTTGAGAGAGAGACTGAATAAGTAAGAGATACAAGAAGTATCCACCTTAACATTTTCACCGGCCTTCATGTTGCTTGCTACTGTTTACTAACCTGTTTTCTGACCTCTCTGTGACATCAAGAAAAGTAAAAACAGAAAGGTACACTCATCAGCTGCAGAGTTGTGTACACAGCTCTGATCTACTGGCAATAGGAAAGCAGTCTATCGCATGTTCTTTTTGTTTTTTTTTTGTGTTTAAAAGAACACGCATGCTAATTTTGTTGGGAAAATGGTTTAAGTGTCTGACAACATTATGGGAAGGATCCCAACAGAGATAGACGTTTTTGTTAATGATTAAGATGCTTTTAAGATGTTTTGTTTAACCACAAACAGCCTCGAAATCATCATCACCAAACCCACCAGACTCCATTAAAATAAATCATAATTTTATCATCGTAAAACACACTTCAGTCAAAGTTGACAGAAACAACATAAAACTCAAAAAAGCCATCTTGGTTCGTCTTTCCACTTTTCCAACAATCACCAACTCTGATTTGGGTGAAACGGACCTTTAATTCACGCAGTTAGATGTGAAAATATGCTGACTCTGTACACGCTAAAATTAATGTTTATTTAAATGGAGTCCGGTGGGTTTAGTGATAGTGATTTCTTGTTACCCTAAAAGGATCTTACTCTTAAATAAAATGGTTGACCACCGTAGAAATCATTTCCATAGTGTTGTCAGACACTTGTAATGACAATCTGAGCCTGTCAGTGGCAAAAACAAACTTTTAACGGACGTAAAGTGACGGTGCACAGATACCCCAAATGTATACTTTGCAGCCTGTTTTGCAGGCGCTGGCTGCAGTCCTCTCTTACCCCTGGACCCATTTAAAATTCCAGGTTAAAAAAGGGCTATTTCCGACCCTAAATATGATCAAAAACATGGTTTAATTGTATGAAAATCTTAAGAATTATATCTTTAACACACCGTAAACCTAAGTTTATTTGGTGGGGTCCGTGGGGTACTTGGGTCCCTTGGCAGCTGCTCCACTCCAGCTTGTATTGACATGGTTTTTACCTGCCATTTCTCAAAGTGAAGTATCATTTAATTCACTGTAACCCTCCATAGAAAACGTAAGCTTCATTTGGAATAAATCTCTATCATTTTGATTGTGGTAAATTGATACTTTGCTAACTCCTGAATCCCTTTTTATCTCGTAGGTGTTGAAGTTCAATGGGATCCAACCATTGGTGGGTCTGCTGCGCAGCCCCAGTCAGCAAGTCAGCCAGACAGCTTCAGCTGCCCTGCGTAACCTGTCCTTTAAAAGCAACAGTAACAAGGAGGAGATACATCGCTGTGGCGGTGTCACGGACGCTGTGGCTCTGCTCAGAGATACAGACTCTGTGGAGATACAGAAACAGCTGACAGGTACAAGTTGGCTCTGAAATATGCAACGCTGTACATAGGTGTACATACACACACCTATCCATGCAAATAAGTCAGACAGAGAGCCACTTGTGTTCAGTATAACAATCACCAAGCTGCTCTTGAGTGCTGTCACTCTGCAGAATGTCAAAGCGTGAATAACCTCGTCACTGTTCTAAAGACAAAGCTAAATGTTGAACATTACAAACATCTAAAACAGATCAAGTTTCATTTCTGTCATCAGGTGTGTTTCAGGTTTTCCTGCGACAAAACATCTGATTGAATAGTGTAGTACAGTACACACCTTCAACCTATAAAACCAACATGATTTTTTGATGTTTTTGCCACAGGCAGTAAATGAATGTTTGATTGATGTGCTGCTTAAACAGTTGAGCTTTTCTTTTTCTCTCCAGGTCTTCTGTGGAATTTGTCCTCTGCAGACAGCCTGAAACCAGACCTGCTGAAGAGTGCTCTGCCTGTCTTAATGGAGCGTGTGATCCTGCCTTACACAACAGGTACTGACCGGACCAGCAAGATCAGCCAAGACCCTGAGGTCTTCTTCAATGCCACAGGATTCCTACGGTAAGATCCAGCTGAGCACCCGATATCACACTAATGTCTTTGCTTTAGCTCTCATAAGGCCGAAGATCTTATTGCCTTTGTGTAGCCAAACTCTGCACCAACAGTAAAACATCATGATATATCTATACATTATAACACCTGCAAATATCAAACATGCACCAGGGAGTTGTGTCTACCTGTAGAGATTTATTTTGTAGAATCAGACATAAACAGCAGCCTGTGGGGCTGAATAATGAGGCCAACAAAGAAGTGCCAAATACTGCAGTTCTTTGAATGACCACTTGAAGCTGGCTCCAAGAGTCAGTCCGCACAGACCCCCATGTTAAAATGCTCAACTTCACAGCAGAAATAAACACATTTACAGCTTGGTAAGAAAAACGGCTTTGGTCTCTACAGTTCATTTCCACAAGATGCCTGCACATGTGGTAATTTTTTATATAACTCACCTGTTCACATTTTATTAAGGCTTAAAGTCAAACATAATTAGGGGCAGGCTGCTTTGAGTGACAGGCTGTCTGCTGATACGATACACTTAATTGTCCTCGTAGGGAAATTTGTCTTGGTCTCAGGAGCTGCGAAAGTATTGCTGCCTTATGATAATAATAGTTCAGAAGGAACTACAGCCAGTCAAGTAAATGGGAAAGTGTGTCCAAACTTTTGACTGGTACTGTACGTCCATTATTTTTACAGTCTGTGGACACCCATTTCAAATGTTATCACTCTATTAATATGCGTTAGTAGTGGTTGTCAGCATTATAGATAACAGCCAAACAGATACTGGATTTTTGGGGGTGATACTGATATCAGGAAGTAAAAAATTATGATAAGGGGCGGCACAGTGGTGTAGTGGTTAGCATTTCTCCAGGTACTCCAGCTTCCTCCCACAGTCCAAAGACATGCAGGTTAATTGGTGACTCTAAATTGGCCGTAGGTGTGAATGTGAGTGTGAATGGTTGTCTGTCTCTATGTGTCAGCCCTGTGATAGTCTGGTGACCTGTCCAGGGTGAACCACCCACCCATGATCCCCAACAGGACAAGCGGTTAAGGAACCGATTATTGGCCGATATTACATTTTAATATATGTACAAAAACACAATTGTTTTTTAACAATAAACCTCTCGTACTTACTAAAATGACATTAGTGCACTGAAACAGCAACTTTTATTGTTGGTTTAATAATTGTAAATTGTCCCAAACAAAATAAGAAGTGTTCATACTGGTGCATATTTGATAACATATACGCCGATACCAATATATCTGTGGCTGATTGATATACCAGTATGACTCTATGACGGTAGATATAAGTTAGAACAGTGGTTTTCAAACTTTTTGTGCCCAAGGCACACCAAAGGGCAGGCCAAAATCCCAAGGCCCACCTATTGTTATATCTGCGCACAATAGCCTAAATTACATGTGTCATCACTCTTATCATGACATAAACATTTGTTTTTATTTACTAATATCAAATAACAATTGACAACCAACTTTTGCTCATGAAATATTTAATAAGATGATTTAAGAATTCATTTTCATTTAAACATTTTAAAATTACATCAAAGCACCAGTAACACATCCATTTAAACCGGAAATAATGTAAGATAATGTGATGTCTCACACAAATTAAATAAGATTAAATTAAATTACATTTATTAGATAGAGTTTGCATTTTTATTAGGAAATGGGTGCACACAACAGTCTGATACAGTCTGTTAAAAATTAATTCATAACTTTTTGTATAGGCCCAGTTGAATATTGCAATAATAATGTGTGGTTATCACAAAATCCCATGACACACCTGGATTGGCATCACAGCACACCACTTGAGAACCACTGGGTTAGAAGACTCCTGCTACATTGACTTGTATGTTCATAATGCTATTATCAGCTTTTTAATTGCCATTGGCAAAACTACACTTTGCTTTACATTTCAGCAACTCTGTGTTAACATGTAGTTATGTTTAGGCACAAAAAACCAAGCAGTGTTGCTGTTTTTTGGTCTTGCAGTCCGGCAACTGTCTCACCTAGATGTCACACCATCCACCATCCCCTCTGTCGCCTGATGTCAGGTTATATAGATGTTACCGCCTAACAAGAGCCACGTCTATCTAACAGCTTATAGTATCATTCTAAACATACTTATCAGTGCAGCAGGAGCCGTCTAACCTATGTCTGTAATGCTGATAACCATTAGTTACACCTGTTCAATGGGATGTGCAGAGAAAAGATCTGAGATCAAACAGTGTCAGTACAAAACAGGTTAAGAGTCAGTTTGCTCCATTAACATGTTTGAAAGGCCTGAATTAGTCATATTAAACGTAATTATTCCCGAAACAATAACCGATACTGTAAACTACGGGCTTACTCATAGTAGTAGCAGTTGTACTAGCTGCTCTTGCACACTGTCAGCCATGTGATGTTTTTACAAGGGGTGGGGTGCACTTGATTTTCAGTGGCTTCGAGTTCAAGGCAGAGATTTTCCATGGAAGACGGCACATAAATAGTATGAGAACGTTAATGGACTGTGACCAGGCCAAATGTATAGTACAAACATAAATGTGACTCAGCCCTCTGGGCAAAACCATTAAAGTGTGTGAAGTCACCAGTGTGAGAAATGTGTAGTGTTTTATTAAGATTAAATATCACTACTATAGGACCTAATCGAGCTGCCAGTTTATTAGGTACACTTACACAGCCCTGCCTTCATGTTGAAAAGCTGTCAGTAAATTAGAGGCTGTAGTCTGAGTTGTTGTTGAGCTGTATTAAGTTTGTGTGTCTTGCATTATACCGACAGCTGTTTCTAATAACCAATCTGCCTCCAGTGGTGTAAATTATTTTCTTGCTGCACGCATCTTGACTTCATTATATTTCCAACTCCTTACAAGCCTGTCTGCACTCGTCTGGATTGATTGTAATTGTGGATGTAAATGTCTAACATTACCGGCAATCAAACTGCAATTACAGGTGATACTAATACGATAAGTTGTCTTATCTTCGACATCAGCAAACACGCGGCTGTTACGTAAAACATTGACTGACTTCCTGTATCGTTCTGGGAAGGCTGTGATTGTTTGACTTGAGGCAAGGTGAAAGTAATATCAGACAAATCGCTTCTTTGCTGCAACATGTTTCCATATTTAGGTTAAATATTTACCTGCTGTGCTCATGTTTCCTCTCTCAGATCTCAAAATCGATCGTAATCGAAATACATCTTATTCCATTCTCAACAGAAACCTAAGCAGCACGAAGCAAAGCAACAGACAGGCGATGAGGAAATGTCGAGGACTGGTCGACTCTTTGGTCAGTTACGTTAAAGACTGTGTGGATGCAGGAAAGCCAGACGATAAGGTAAGTGAGAGAAACTGTCTGAGTCCTGCACCTCTCAGTTTCTCCTTTAATCACATGTCAGACCTTCATATGAAAAGAAATTATCTGTCACTATAGCGCGGAGCTGCGGTTTGAAGTTAACCAACTACTATTGTGGTTTGCAGAGAGCAGTTCTTTACAACAAAAAGGTACAGCTGAGTCATAATGTGCTCAGTGGCACAGAAGACTATGTACTCTAGTGTGTGGCTCTTACACAATCATGTGTACAGACTTAGGATGTGAGCAGTACGTATAGTCAGGCCGGTAATGCTCAGTGTTGTACAGTGTTACGGATTATTGAAATGCTGTGCGTCTCAAGCAGGACAACTGTCTCGCATGACACAACAAAATTATCTAAAGGAACAATGTGTTGTTATTTTGCCTCATTAGCTTGATTATCATTTTCTTGTGGATATAATTGGATATTAATGTCATTGTTTTTACATTTTCAATCTCAAATCAATTCAAAGAGATCACCCCCAAATTAAAAATACATATTTTTCCTCTTACTTTAGGTGCTATTTTTCAATCTAGTGTTAAAGTGTTGGCCTTTTGTTTGTCAGGATAGCACCAACAACACTCCATCTGAATCTTGAGACAAATTCTAATGTAAAGGGACAGTTCACCCCATATTCAGAAGGACATATTTTTCCTCTGACACTTTGGTTAATAGATTTCTAATGCCTGTGTCACAGTCAATTCTAGGACCACTGCTTTAGATTGATAACCAAATACTTCACAGTATTTCTCTTAGCCAGGACTGGCAAATTTCCTCTAAGCCAGTCCAAAGAAAGCATTGTGCATGGATGCTTTAAAGGGACAGTTCACCTCAAAATCAAAAATACATATTTCTCCTCTTACCTGTAGTGCTATTTATCAAGCTAGATTGTTTTGGTGTGAGTTGCAGAGTGTTGGAGATATCAGCCATAGAGATGAATGCTGTCTCTCACATATAATGGAACTAGATGGCACTCGGCCTGTGGTGCTTAAAGTGACAAAAAAAAACATTTTAAAAACTCAACAGCAGTGTCTCTTTCCAGAAATCATAACCTTGTTAGTCAAGATAATCCACAGACCTTGTTGTGAGCAGTTTCATGTAGGAACTGTTTTCCTTTTACCAAACTACACCTGCCACCAGTATCACTGCACAGTAGGAAGTGTGCATCTACTCATCATTTAGAGGCTCATGACAGAGCGGCATGTAAATATTAATTGCCCTCCTCCTCTCAGCTGTAACGTTAGCTAGCTCAGTGGTGATAGGTGAGCTAGTAGTAGATGCATGCATACAGCCACGCAGAAGGAAGTGTGCATCTACTCATGGTGGCTGCAAGGTGACTTCCTGGCAGTAGCAGAGATGTGCATTAGGGATAGACCGATATGGATTTTTTAGGGCCGATGCCGATACCAATTTTTTTTCCATCACCCTTAGCCGATGACCGATTATGGACTGCTGATTTTCTTGAGCCGATATTTGGGGCCGATACTGCTTTTGCTCCCTCAATTTACATCAAAAAAATGACACAATGATAACAAATATTACAGGTCTCAAGTTTAAAATAAGAAACATTTATTGAACAGTAAAAAATACTAAAACAAGATGGAAAGTTGAGGTAGAACAGGTAGAATATTATTATACATTCAAATAAAAAAAGAGTTCAGTGCTCTTAAATCTTCCAGTAATGTCTTTATAAAAATAAACAAATATTTAAGCTGAAGCATAAATAAAACAACAACTACTGTACACAGTAGGATTCAACAGCTTTGTTCAACTTAACCACATACTTTCAAATGAAAAAAAGTGCCAGGGAAAAATAAATCCGCGAACCCACGCGCATATCGGCCGATGCCGATACAAGTAAAAAACTCAAATATCGGCGTGATATATCGGCCGGCCGATGTATCGGTCTATCCTTAATGTGCATAACAAGAAGCAAGGTGCAGACCATTGTGTGTGCGCAGCATCGCCACAGACGCCCACTACGCCAAACCTGTCATGCACATGGTGATAAACTATTGAAATAAGGAAGAGAGGAAGGAGAAGTGGCGCAAGGAAACCTGTCAGCCCTTAGCTTAAAATAAATGTTTTAATAACAATAATAATAATAATAATAATACATTAAATTTATACAGCGCTTTTCAAGATACTCAAAGACACTTTACAAAGAGCAACAACAACAATCAAAAAAAAAAATATATTAAACAAATATAGTATGATATGCAAAATGTAATGTAATAACCTTTTACAGTAGGAATTCAGGTTTTTAGTCAGGCTCGGGCCCAAAACTGCTGCTGTGGTTCATGCTTGGGCTCGGACAGACACTGTGAGGGTTGATGTAGTGTCGGGCCTGATTTTTTGGGCCTGTTAAGTTTCATTATATTCAAGAGAAGACATACATCGGCCGCTAGCTCCAACACTTGATTTTGGGTTGAACTGTCCCTTTAATTTAACCTATTTCTGTTTTTAAGTTTAAATATTTGCTGGTTATCTAAATGCACATTCGGCAGTGCCACTTAATTTTCACTCAACAACTTAGTTCACAGGGCTGTGACAAAGTTACAGCAACATCTGTATGATACAATGCAGTTAGATGTATTGCATCGAGTGACAGTAACCTGTGTCACAGTGAGCATCGTTGAGCACTGACGCCGTTGTTGCTATTTCTGTGTCTGAGTCGTACCTGTGCCCTGATGTTGTGTGTCGTTCTACCTGTTGAAACACAGTCTGTAGAAAACTGTGTGTGCGTCCTGCACAACCTGACGTTCCAGCTGGAGAACGAGGCTCCGGCTCTCTTCAACAGGATCACAGCTTTGGCCAAGACTGTCAACAGGACCCCCAGCCAGGGCGACATCGGCCCCATCGGCTGCTTCAGTCCACAAGGCAAAGCGTCAGATAACATGGTGAGACAAAGAGGGTGCACAACGAGACAAATGTACAGTACATATTGATATGGAACAGGGCCCTAAGGAGACTTTTAATTATGTCAGTACCTGAGAAATACTTGTTGACACTACCTACAAGAACTCGTCCGTTGTCTAGACTTTATCTGTCAGTGTGTGTGTCTGTCATTAATCCTGTTCTTCAGTGTGGCTTGTTCATTAGTTGTACAAACGTTATGGCGGTTATACCGGTAATTACATTCTGGCTTTTCAAAGGCTTTGAGTGACAGTGTGAGACTTTGTGCTCTGATTGCTGAAGGTGTTACCTTTTACTTAAAACACGTCTGGCTTCAGCGTGATCATGCGACACCAAATCATTCAGATTTATCTCATGTTTCCCTGCATTTCATTAAAAGTGAATCCTGTAACAGCTACACATTGAGAATAATCTTTTCCCTTTCTTGTCCAGCAACACTTTGACTTTCCAGTCGTTGAAGATCCACAACCTACTGGGGCTGGTCAGCTGATCCACTCCAAAACTCTGCAGAATTACCTGTCTTTGCTCGCCACTAGCCAGCGAGAAGAAACACAGGAAGCGTGTTGTGGAGCCCTGCAGAACCTCACAGCACATGAAAGCATTGTAAGAAAAAAATATGTTGCGCTGTTACAAACTGACCAGAAACAAAAAAAATACTTAATCTGATTTAAATCTGTGCAGCTGTGGATCTTAGAGTGCTTTCAGACCTAGAGTTGTCTTGCTTTGGTCTGAATCAGGGACTAATGTTGTTAGAAAGTTGCATAATAGCCTAGAGTTGGTTCATGTTCTCACGGCAGCATTTACAAGCGGACCAGATAAAATGCCTTGTGCGAGAAAGCTGCTCTTGATTGGTCAGAATTTCCATGTGGGAAAAATCCAGGAAGTAAACAAAACGTTGAAGAAGAGTACACTTGCAAGATAAATGTGACACTTTCTAATGTCACAATGGAGGGACAACTACGCAGGTTGATTTTAGCGCTGCTCATCGTGGACTATATTGCTGTCATTGTTCATTTTAGTCAAACCGTACAGTTTGAAAACGAGGCGCGGCTCCAACTAGAAAACAATGTTTTGATGCATTGGATGTGCTGAATGTGCATATTAAGGCAGTACAGGAGGAGGTGCACATTAATAATCCTCCAGGACTGTAACATGCTCATGTTTAACCCAAACAATGTGTCATGTGACTGCAGTTGGTTCAGATCCAGGTCGGAACACCTTCTCATCACAAATGAACAGCACCAGAGTTCTTCTGTAACCAGACTGAAACCACCTCTTCAAGAAGGTCTCAGTGCGGTTGTTTTGGTGCACACCTGTGTGCGATTGCTGTGTTCACACCTGCTCAAACGAACCGCACTTAGGGGGCAATCAAACTTGAGTTTGATTGAACCCAACCAAACGGGGCAGGTGTGAAAGCACCTTTAGAGATTAGTTTGCATTACCATTAAATGTCCAGTGTGTAAGATTTCAAATGGTATAAAATATTCAATAGAAAATTCATTCATTCATTCATCTTCTAACCGCTTCATCCTCTTGTGGGTCACGGGGGGGCTGGAGCCTATCCCAGCTGACATCGGGCGAGAGGCAGGGTACACCCTGGACAGGTCACCAGACTATCACAGGGATGACACATAGAGACAAACAACCATTCACACTCGCATTCACACCTACGGACAATTTAGAGTCACCAATTAACCTGCATGTCTTTGGACTGTGGGAGGAAGCCGGAGTGCCCGGAGAGAACCCACGCTGACACGGGGAGAACATGCAAACTCCGCACAGAAGGGCTCCCATGCCCGGGATCGAACCGGCAAACCCTCTTGCTGTGAGGCGAGAGTGCTAACCACCACATCACCGTGCCGCACTCTCAATAGAAAATTGTATTCAAATATTCAACTATGTTTTCATAAGTTTATAATCAGCTGAAAGTAAGACTTGTTGTGTTTTGGTTCCTTAGAATGAGCCGTTATATGTACATATGGAGCAGGTCCTCTTCCAAAGAGTCCGCCATGTTGTCTCTATATGTTGTCTGAGCTTTTATGGTTTTCGTCTCCACAGGTCTCTGGTGTAATGAGTCAGAATATTGTGCAGAAGCTGAATGGCCTGCAAGTGATCACTCCACTTTTAAAATCAGACAAAGTGAACCTGCAGAGGAGCGTAGTGGCGTTGGTAGGAAACCTGACGAGAAACCCGAACCTGCATAATGCCATTGGTAAGACACAGGTGCAAGACAAAACTAGTATGTTGCTTTTTTAAACAGTTTTTTCTCTTCATTTAAAAACATGTCACTTGCTTGTTTTAAACATAAATATGATTAATCAGCTAAATTATTAAGATATATGACATAAGAAAATCCATCTTACAGTGTATTTAGAATCTACAAAAACGTTTTGCTTCGTCAGATTTGAGTCATGTCCTTGAAATTTATTATCTTAAGTAGTCGTCTGCGGTTTTATGAGTGTTTGCTGGTGTTAAACAGTCAGTGGGTTTTTGTTTGCCTTGTTACTGCAGCTCGTAAAGCCATACCAGAGCTGCTGGACATCCTCACTGCAGGCACTAAGGGAGGGAATGAGTCTGATGACATACTGGCCATGGCCTGTCAGACCTCCAACTGCCTGCTCATGAAGGAACAAGCGATGGGCAAATTCCTCATAAAATATGATCTGATAAAGTCCCTGAAAGAGCTCAGCCAGAACGGGTAAGGCTCCATGAGACAGAGTGTGCCTGCATTTGTGTTTAGATTGTTCAAGATATGGAGATTACCTATGACTCATCAGGGATTATATTTTGCATGCATGATAAATTTCCACGAGTCCAAACTGATCTTCAACAATTGTTTCTGCTCTATTAAGATATTTCCCCAAATCCAGCAAAGCTGCGGCGCTGCTCCTCTACAACCTGTGGTCAGACAAAGAGATTCAAACCTTCCTGAAAAAGGTGAGTTGGAGCTTAATCCTGAGTGCCAATATCTGTCAGGGTTTGGGTGTGTCCTCTCTGTTTTCTACCTGCACTACAAGTGTCCACACCTCTCTCAGGTATTTGTGAGAAACAGAGGGAGAAAGGTTGAAGTATTAGGCAGTGTTCTCTCAGGAAATGCCCAGTGAATGTGAGTGAGGCACTAAAGTGATACGGCTGAGGAATCTCGCAGCTCAGGTTCGACGGAACACTGGCAGGACTTTGTTTGCACGTGTACGACAGCACATTAGCACGGCATATTGTAATTGACGTTTTGACAGCAACTCAAGGCGTACCATGAAGAAATCAATGTGTCACCTACTGTCAGTGTGGTTACTGAGGTGCTGCGCTGATTTATATTTCACTGTCTGTCCTGCAGAAAGGGATGAGCAAGGCCTCGTTTGTGAATGACGTCACCACAGCGGCACACAAGTCGGCTCAAGTTGTCGATTAAGGACACAGCTTAGATGAATCTCTGTGAATTATTTAGCAACTCACCTGCACGTCCTCTGCGCGTCCACTGAGGCTGAGCAGCATCCTTTCTCATTTCACAAAGACTTACAGATTGTTTTAATACGTGTATCCATATAATGTTTCTATCAACTTACAGTGGCCCTGTGTATGCTGTAAGGTTTTCTTTGTAGGAACAAAAAGGTGAAGGTTAAGATGTAACACGTTAGCAAGCAGCTGTCATTGTTTACTTCTCTAGTTTTAACTGCTTTTAAATGTCTTTTAAAGGGACAGTTCACCCCCTTTTCAAAAATGTTTCCTCTTAGCTGTCATGCTATTTAGCAAGCTAGATTGTTTTGGTGTGAGCTGCAGAGTTTATCGGCCGTAGAGATGTCGGCCTTCTCTTAAATATAACAGAACTAGATGGCACTCAGCTTGTGGTGCTCAAAGCGCCAAAAATACACGTGAAAAACTCAACAGCAATGTCTCTTTCAAGAAATCATGACCTGGTTACTGAAGACGATCCACAGACCTTGTTGTGAGCACAGACTGTATAAAAATAATGGATGTAGCAACAGTGATGTCACCCATTTTTTTGTGGACTCCCATTTTGAAGCCTTAGCTTTGGGATTTTGGCCAGCGCCATCTTGGAAGCCAGAAGTGACCATATTTGAACAAGAGGGTGGAGCTGTGGATGGACGGGGGGTGGATCTGACTCAAAGACTATAACGACATCTTGCAGACAGCCCTGCCCTTAAATATATGTAGCTTAAAGCCTGCGTTTTTGTATATATAATGTGTAAGTAATATCCGTCAGTATATCAATATCATAAATTTTTCTTTCCTAATAGCCCCTGAAATCCAGTATTGGTCGGGCTGTAATCTCTGACGCTGACAACCACCACTAACGCCTTTTAAAAGAGTTATAACATTTGACATAGGTGTCCATAGACTGTAAGAAAAAACGGATGTAGCTACCCCAGAGTCACCGATAGGTTTGTGGACTGCTGTTTTGAAGCCTAGAGTTTGGCATTTCAGCCGTTGCCATCTTGGTTTTTTGGAGACAGAAGACAGACGGACTATATCTGACTCGAGTTAGGGGTGGGTGTGACTCAGAAGGCAAGGACGCTGTCAGCAGACAGCCTGTCACTCAAAGAAGCCCGTCCTTAATTATGCTTAACTTTAAGCCTTAATAAAAATGTAAATAGGTGAGTTATAACAAATTTCACCCTCCGTACAGTTGTCATGAATGTTGAAATTAGCTATAGAGACCGAAACTGTTTTTGTACCAGGGTGTAAACATGTTTATTTCTGCTGTAGAGTTGGGCATGGGTAGGTTTTTAACATGGGGGTGTATGGGAATTGAGTGGCTTGTGGAGCCAGCCTCTCGTGGCCATTAGAGGAACTGCATTGTTTTGACACTCAAGTGCTGGCTTCATTTTTCAGCCCCAGATGCTGACCTTTGTTTGTGAGCAGTTTAATGTAGTAACTTTTTTCTTTCTACCGAACTACACCCACTAACTGTATCACATTACAAAAAGAAGCGTGCATCTACTGCTAGCTCACCTAGCGCTGCTGAGCTAGCCAATGTTACACCTCAGCAGAGGAGGATGCCATCAATATTTACAAGTCACGCTGTCATGATCATTAGTGTCTTATCGATGAGTAGATGCACGCTTCCTTCTGCAGAGTGATACAGCTGGTGGGTGCAGTTTGGTAGATAGAAAATAGTTCCTACATGAAGCTGCTCACAATAAGGTCTGTGGATTATCTTGCGTAACTGGGTCATGATTTCTGGAAAGGGACATTTTTTTTTTACATTTTGAGCACCACAAGCCGAGTGCCATCTGAATCAAATCAAATCAAACTTTATTTACGTAGCACATTTTATACAATCATGCAGCCCAAAGTGCTTCACAGAGCAGGAGTAAAACAGTACAGAAGAAGTAACAAGTGAATAGCTAGACATTACAACAATAAATGATAAAATATTTAAAATAAATGACATTAAAAAGAACAAAAAAAGAGAGTAGAAAATGCCAAAGACAAGGCTTAAAAACAGAGGCAATGAAAGACGAGGCACAAGTGAAAGCCAGTTCCGTTATATTCGAGAGAAGGCTGACGTCTCAACAGCTGATATCTCCAACGCTCTGCAACTCACACCAAAACAATGTAGTTTGATAAATAGCGCTACAGGTAAGAGGAAAAATACGTATTTTTAATTTTGGGGTGAACTGTCCCTTTAATGTAAATATTGTGTCCGCTACCATGAGCTTGATTTGTTAGATTGTAACACAAAGGGTTAAGATTTTTATTTTGCACTGACATTGCTGTTTTGATACATAAAGTTATGTTAAAAAAAATAATTTTGATGTTGTAAAATGAAATGTTGGATTTTAAAAGGTTTGGTACAAAAGCAGTGACGTGTGTTTACATTTCGTAAAGACAACTTTGTTGGTTGGTGTATCCATCTTTTTTAAAATGTATGTACGTGTGTGTGTGATGTTGAGATATTTGTATTGTCCCAAAAAATGTTTAAAATAAAGTTTACAGAGATCTACTCTCCGTGTTGTAAAGGTGATAAATTATTAAATCCTAAATCTGGGAATTTGAGCTCATTACCACTCATTTGTCAGAAGCCACTGGTGCAGCACGAAGAGTTTCGTTAAACCTGGTTTACATTTTGTCACACCCCTCTAGGTATTTGGCTGCGGAGTTTAAAATGCTTCTGGGCAGATAAGCAACATGTCTTTCAAATTCTGTTTACTCCACCCTTATAATTTATATTCTGAGGCTTAAGAAGAAGCTCGTAGAGCCAGACACTGCAGCTGTTGTTGCACTTGGTGCATTATGTAATTTGTTGACCAGATTTGAACTTTGGTCCTCCACAGTCCAAACTGTGTAATCCACTGGCGGACAACAGGGAATTTGGGGGTCATGTTTAGATTTATGAGGCCTCGTAATTGTTTCATTTTACGCTGATAGATTTATGTCCTCATGTGTGGCCATTTATAGAAGGCTGGTAATGCTGTGGGTGCACGCCAAGGCTACCTGGATTTGGCAACAAGAATTTGACCTTATTAAAGAAGATGTGTTTTTTATATCATCACAATTAAGTTAACGAACCATGACTTAAGAGAAAGAAGACATTATTTCTGGTTTGGTACATAAAGATTTTTTTAATTCATTGCAGCCACAAACTAGTACACACAAGAACCGATTCATTAGTTTAACTTTCACTTTTAGTACTCTAAAATTGACAGATTTAGTGAACATAAAACTAGGGTTACATTAAAATGCTGTCACATCGTAATTCTTTTCATATAGTAAAGTCATTTTCATGTCTTACGCTCCTCCCTCCTCCATGAACACAAGCTGCAACACATCAGCCTTCTACCTCTATACTGCCTCAGATGAACTCAGCATGCACTTTGTTCACAGATACCATATTTAAGAGCATTTGTAATTTTGTTCTTGCATGTTCAAGTATTTCGAAAACATCATTATGCAGTTTTTGATTCTCAATAAATGTAAGGTGTCGTCAGTTTCCCTCAGGTTGACGTCAGGTGTTACTTCCTCAGGCCGCGCTTGGTTCTCCTACCCTTTGAACTGAGAATGAAGTGAAAGTCAGCAGAGAGCAGCCAGCACACAACCTACCCAACCTGTAATGCTTACTGAACTGTGTTTATTGCCTTCCATTAAAAAAACATATTTGTCTTGTAACGTTATGATTTATTGTCTCATGCTGTCACCGATCTTTTCATTCCAGCGATCCTGAGAAATTTAATTTGTTCTGCTGATGCAAATAAGGCACGCTCTGTAGCCGCATTTGAAATGTAAATTATTTTAGGGAAATTGTTGCCACAGAAAGGAAATTTCAGATATCTCCTCACATGTGGATGAGACAAACAACCTTCCTCTTAACAGTCTTAACCTTTGGATTTATTGACGTTAACTTTTTGCAGCAATATGCTCATAGTTCAGAATTTGGGCATAAGATGTTTTCTTACAGTTGCATGGAACAACTGCAGACCAGAATCTGTTTGATAAGGCATTCTGAAACTACTATTTTACAGTCTCATCAGGTCAGTGTAAAGTCTGGTCCCAATGCAGTTCATCTCTCTACAGCAGTTGACCCAAATATTTAAAGCACCATCTACCTGTTGTGACCCATCATGACAGGGTGCATCTCAATGAGCTGTGCAAAGCTCAACTTAAGATAATTTTCCTCTCTCAGATGGCAAGTTTTATAATTTCATTTAATTTGAATAGCCTATTTTTTTAATTTTAAAAGGATGATACAAAGATTAAAGAAAAATGTACATAGATTTTTGCTTTTCCCAAATAATCTTCTTGTGACTCCTTCCAGGGGCCCCGACCCCAGGTTGGGAAACCTCTGCTCTACAGAGAGCTGCTGTTGGCTTCACATTTGTTCTGAGAGCTTTTCATAGCTGTCTCCTTTTGTAAGGGATTAGCTACCAAATAGCTGACTGCTATCTTTATCTCTTGTTGCTACCGAGGTACCTGACCCCTGCAGCTTCTTTATGAATACAGACATTTATCAGTTTTATTTGAAACTGACAGATTACAACACAGTCTCACAGAAATACATGCAATGCACACAACCTCTGAACAATGCTGTCACCATGAAAAGGATGCCTGTGCAAAGTCTTACACGAACAGTTGCAGTTTGGTTATTTAATTGAAAAAGACCATGATTTTGGTTAAATAACTACGTACGGGATGTAGGTGACGTAAATGTACATATTTTGCGTTGTTTCATAAAGGACCCACGTAAAGTACTTTGCTATGTAAAGTCTATAAAGTCACAAACACGTCCCCAGGAAGTGTGTCAGGCATTTAAAGCCAATTTTCATAGAGACCAAACGGTGGAATTACAACTTTGGGGTCTGTCACGCGGCGCCATTGGGCTCAAATAGACTTTTACCCATAGATTTGCATTGTGAAAGTGACATCTGTAAAAAAAATTTTTTTTTGAGCATCACAACCCCTGCAAAATGATTAATTTCACTATTGGGATTTGTTCCATTCGGTCCAATAACATTTGTAAAGTCTGGAAGAGCTGCACAATTAAATCATTTCATACCCAATCAAGTTAGCGGAGGGCTAAACCTGAAGTTAGCCACTCCGCTCACAAAAGTCTCTACTGTGCTTGCTCTGTGAGCCCAAAGATGTGGAGGATGCAGGTAATTCTTTACCTAGGAAATCAAACATTTTTGCCTTCATGCGCCACTGTGCAACTTTCATAGCGGGGACCCTGTCTCCAACACTATTTCCAGTTCTCTTTATACATCCATGGACATGAACAGTGATGTCCTGGTTGAAAATCCATGTTTGTTTGACCAATCCAACACACACAAACTTTCCCACTTGTGTGTCCACCATGACAAGAGATCGTCGTGTACTTTGCACTGCCATTGTTTTAGTGTTGCCAGCACATAATTTGAACACGTTTTGTGCCCACCACCGAGTAACACAATGTTCAGACTTACTGTCTGGGCTATGAATTATGTTTTTTTGCTGTACTTGAAGGTTTCTGAAAAACAAAAATCTGTTTCACTTAGAAAAAGAAACAACAACTGGCCAGCTCACTCAGTGTAAAAGTCCATTGTACAGGCAGGCAGTCCAAAAATACATCGAATGCACTCTGACTGTGGTTAAAAATCCTTATTAATACATGGATAAACTAACATGTTTAGACTAGAGAGTCTTCATCAGGGTGTAAAATGCATTGGAAACAGATGTGCAATTTAAGAACTCATGTCGGGGTCATGTGACATAGGTCATAGGTTTAGTAACAGGAAAAAAGGTTCAATGCCAAATTAAAAGAAAGGAAACAACAGTGAAATAAAGTAAGAATTGTTAGATATTGTGACATACCTGCACATTAAGTGGCACAAAATGAAAAATATAAGATATATATGACAAAGATAAGCAACAAGGAAATGTGATGGTTTTCCATGTATCAACAAAACTCTAGTTGATACAGTCAGAGTGCCTCAGATGCATTTTTGGACCGCCTGCCTGTGCCCTGGACTTTTACACTGAGTGAGCCAGCCAGTCGTTGTTTTTTATCCTTATGTGACTCTTTGCCCCATCATTGAAGAGCACCTGATTTTTTACAGCTAACTACGTGGTACCATAACCCAGTGCAGCAATCCTTTTTTTTTCTCAAAACCAAGGCTGTATTTCAAAGGGAGGCTTGTTTGAAATGATCAGTCATAGTATTTCAGTATTACTGGTTTGCAATGTAGAAGTCATATTCTGCAAGAAAACCATAAATGTGATAAAGCCTTATTAATAGCCTGAGCCCTCACTGCAGCACAGCCTACATGAGATCAGGAGGAGGGATCCAGATGATTTGGATGGTATCAGGACCCGGTCACTGTTTTATTGTGAGCTACATTAACACAGACGATATCACATAGCAGTTAAAAGATCTCTCAGCTGTTGCACCTCCGTTACAACCATCGCTCCTTCGAGACCGAGAGCATATATATGTTGCTCAGACACCCAAGCTTGCCCTTTGTTGAAATACCTCTCATGTACTCATTCCCTTTTTGTTTTCCACGTCCTGTTTGGCCACTCAGGAAACTTTAGTCCTGCTGTCGGGCAGCTGGCACAAACAGCTGCAACCGACGCCGCTTCAAACAAATGGAGAGCAGTGTTGCGAGAGAGGCGGTGGGGAAGTTGAAATAGGAGGAGGTGGAAACATGATGAGGTCACTAGGTGAACATTTACATCAGGGCAGGCTTATGAGTCTCGGCAGGGAACTACTGATCATTCCTTACCTGAATGTTGCTTCCTGCCTTTTTAAATAAACTCATTTAGTATTTGTATGCCCATCTTAATGAAAGATATACTCTGTTTTAAAGATATCAGACTACTATGTTATGAAAAGAGGCAGTGTCGGAGAAGTACTCAGACCTTTTACCAAAGTAAAAGTAGGCTACCAATACAGAATATGCTGTTGCAAGTAGAAGTCCTGCAATTTTTTTTTTTTTACTTGAGTAAAAGTATAAAAGGGTTAGGATCAAAATACACTGAAATACCAAAACTAAAAGTGCTAATTATGGAGAATGGCTCATTTCAGCATAATATTTATTATACTATTGGATTATAATTATTTAGGCATAAAGGTGCCACTTTAATTTTATAGCTGGTAAATGTGGGGGCAATTTTATGTATTAATATATGTTTTATAAATTATATTGTATAGGCTATATTCACTCTGGAGTTAAATTAAGTCTTATTGTGTATCAACTTGAAAATTAACTTCTTGATATGATATTAAACTAGCAGTTTTTACTAGTACTAGTAAAAAATAAACATAGCTGAGTAAAAAGTACAATATTTACCTCAATTGTTGTGAAATGAAGTGTACAGTAGCATAGAGTGGAATAAGTACCACAAAATTGTTGTTTAACCACAGTGGACTACTTGAGTAAATGTAGGCCTACTTACTTACATTCCACCACTGGAAAAAAAAGGTGACAGCTGGGGTCCAGCACATTTTTTTATATAGCACATAACATAAAACTGTACATAACATATAACGATAAAAACTAGCAAATTTTAAATAAATAGATATAATAATAATAACAATAATAGTAATAGTAATAATTCTGTGTAGTCGCACTCAAGAAAAACAAAAAAAGCATATGTTCCATGCATAACGTGTTAGGCCCTGATCACACATACAAAGTGTTTTAGCAGCTGGAGGCAGCTTTTTGTGATTGTTTTAATGAGAATGAAACTGTTTTTGCGTTGCTACCCGCCTCATGTTTCAGTGCTCTAGGTGCCTGGCGTTTTTGCCGGAGTGCTCTGAACTCCTGGAGTTGAAAAAACTTCAACTCAGAGCAGAAAAATGGCCCAAGTCATCTCTCTTTTTTATCTCATTGTCCAACCGGATGATTTGAGAGGCGGTCCTTCTGTGGTGGTCATGACAACAAGTTTACAGTTGGTAACAGTGGAGGAGAACATGGTGGTAGCGGTTGCCAGATGTCCAGAGCTATACAGCCAGATGATAGACAACAGGTTGGTGCCCCCGAGTCATCCTAAAATATGCCTGGAAACAACCACCCTCGAGGTGAAGCTCCTGGACCAACTGGTGGTACTCCCTGTGATCCACCCTCTTTTTAAGGATCTCATGTACCCACACAGATCTCTGTTTCCCTGTGCCCAGGAAACGATTTGCTAACAGCCTCTCACCCTCAACCAGAGCTACAGTAAGTACCCTCTGCCTGTCCACTTTAGGAACTAGATACTAATTACTGTAACAAAAACTAGATTGACTACACGGGAAAGTTCGTGTAAGAACGTGATGAGGTGCCTTGAAACAATAAAAAGACTCAGCAAGCTTTTTTTTCCACTACTGGCATTCAATTTTAAAAAAAGGCAGTGCGGTGTGCCTCACATTTTGCAACCTCCAAAACGCCTCCTGTGTGATCAGGGCCTTAAAAGGCACTGAATGAAATCGTAATATGTGCACCATGATGTTAGCATCTATGAACAATACTTACACTTTCTGATGATCACTGACCCGGTTTCTTAGCACGGTGATCTGTGAAAAAGATGTTTGAACGTTAATCGACATTCACTAAAGCCAAAATACAGTAAAACGCCTATTTGCTCAAAACTGAATCCGACTTTTTAAACATTTGTTTCACCATTTAAAAAAAGTGACGCCAAGAAATGTGCCTGAAAAAAAAAAAAAGACGATTTAGTAAAATTTAGAAACTGCAGTCACTGAACTCTGACTGGGTTAAGTCAAAGCTACCTGGTGAAATGGCCACAGCTAGCATAAGCTGAAGGTTGATTTCTCTACGTTTTTGAAATAGTTCCCTGTGATTGATCATAGTTTGACAGCCGACACATAAATCAATAGCTGAAACCCATCACGATTGAGGAAGAGAAGTAGACTAACACTTTACACACAAGCTAAATTAGCTTGTCCTGCTAACACCTAGAAAGTAGCAGTAACTGCCATCTCACTCGCTGACTCTCATGGAAGTTCTGCAAATTAATGTTGTTAGACCTCATTTAAATCACATGTTTAAATATGTTAAATTATAGATTATTTAATTGTACTTGTTCAACATTGAGTTGAGGATGATAGAAACTTGATTATTACAACTAATCTGTGAAACAATTTGGCTAACTAGCATCAAAACTTAGCCCTGTTTTCTCTTCACAGTTTACTGCTGCAAAAGTGCACTCTTAGATGCTCCTGTGGGAGATGAATCATCATAAAGTGTGCTCTAGGGTGGCCTAAAAATGTATGCAGTGCTGTGGAAAGTCTATGGGAAACCTGCTGGTGCCCTTTTATATTTTTCACCCCTGCCTCTCAGACAGCCTGAGTCTGCCACTGCTGTTCTCTGCTTTTGTAGTGCATTATATATGTTCGATATAATTATATTTAATTTCTCAAACTTAGCTTTTTAAACTTTTTCTGCTACTTCATCTCATCTCATGATCTTTGCCTGAACTCCGCTCACAGTAACTGACAAAACTGGTCATCAGATATTTAGTTTATATAAGGAAATGTTGTCATAAATCTTTCTGTCACGGTCTGTTTACAGTTTGGCCTGAGTCCCAGAGTCCCTGGTGATGTTTACATGATTATGATGCCACCACAAGAATCTATGTACATGTGGGGTGGCTGTGGCTCAGGAGGTAGAGTTAGGTTGTCTACCAGTCAGAGGACTGGGAGTTTGATCCATTGCCATTAGAGTGTACGTGTCGAAGTGATCATACAGGTGGCACCTTGTATGGCAGTCTCAGCCACAACAGTGAATGGTGCTTGTGTTGAAAAGAACTTACCTCATACTTTTGCTTCGTGTACTGATCCTTAAGGTCAAATTTCTCAGCCTCCAGCTGGCGCATCCAATCCCACAATTCCTTGGCTTTTTCCCTGCATCGGCACAGAGAAGGCAGTGGTAGATCATGAGAAGTATCTGGAATGAGTCTAGAGACTGTTTTCTTGCTGGATTTTTATTTTTACCTGAGTTTGTCCTCTTTCATGTGCTCAACATTCAACTCTTTGCGTCGATCACTCAGGATCTTCTTCTTCTTTTCTCTTTCCGTTTGTTTCTTTTGGCCGGGTTGTGTCTGCTGGTCAGGGAGAGGGATGTGTACATATACACAGGAGGTTAGTGCACCTCTAATCTAGCATATGACATGTTTTAAAGATACAGAAATTCTTCACCTTGTATCCAGTGAAGGTCAAGTTGGACAGAATCATTTTCTTCCTCGCATCATCGTCTGCTTTCTTCTTCGCCTCTCCCTCTTCTTTTTTTGCTTTCTCTTCCTGTCATGGTACATTTGATCACTCATGTTAGTTTAATTGAAGTTGTTAGTATACTTTATAGTTGGGAATGAAATATTTGCACTTTGAAAAAGCCAGTTCTTAAAATGTTTCTGTAGCTGATAGGGTTCAGGAAGCTTGTCCGTCTTACAGTGATGATCTGTAAATGTTATTTGTCCTCGTATACGTACAGCTAGTTTGTTCTGCCGCTCTCTTTCTCTTTCTGCCCGGATCTTCATCTGCTCTGCTCTCTCTGACCTGCGTGCCTCCTGAAGCAGGAAGGAAAATTTTACACACCACAACAAAATCCTGTAAACTCAAAACTGAAAGACAGCACTTGATTACTGGAGACAAAACGTGTTACATATTGCAGTAGAAGATATGGACATACAATGCGATCTGTGAGGCTGATGAGCTCCTCTTCCTCCTTCTTGCGCTGCTCGAAGTGAGCATCAATCAGAGAGTGGAGCTCGGTCAGGTCCTTCTCCATTCGTTTTCGATGAATGTCCTGAAATTATAGCAAGAAGTTGAAACGTGAGCATATCCAACAATCTGCCTTCCCTTAAAAAAAGACAGCTTGCAGGTGTAACTTTGATCAGTCCTGAGATGAACTCACATCAAAGTCCACTTTTTCTCCTTCTGGGATTTTGGGCGCTGCCAAGCCGGGCACAAAACCAGCCCTGAGGAGGAAGATGGAAAACTCTTTTCATCTTAATGTGTCTTACACAGAGAATTATTTTTCAATTTAAGTTGTATGAATATATTTAAACTCTGGTCTTACTTTATCTTGAGCTTTGCGTCTTCTGTGTGTGCATAAAAAAGCAAAGTAAAATCTTTAGTTTGTGAAGCAACTTATTTTAAAAAACGAAGGACTTTATGCATGAAACATCCCACAGAGAAACATTTTTTTCTGCTGTTGCACAAACATAGCCTTTGTTCTGCCTAAATAAGCGGTCCATACCTCCTTCATTCTCCCCTGCAGCATCTGCTGAAAGATGAGAGGGTCAGTGTTGAGACAACAGTGAGTGAACATGAGAAAGTGCAGGTTACACTGACATGTAGAGAATTATGACACTGATAAAAAGGGTCACAGGTGACTCTCAGGAAGGATTTTAAAAGTGCAGTAGTTGTAAAAATGTGTTTTAAGTTTCATTTAAAAGATTATTGTCCACCAGTATGTGATATTTAGTAAAGTTTTGATTTGACTTTGTTATAAAATGAGAAAAAAAGATTTCACTCTCAACACTCTTAATTTGTTTTTTTTAAAAGTCCTTCTGGTTTAGCAGGCCGCAATACAAGTAAATCAAGTGTTGTTGCTCTCCTATTGGTCTGTAATTTAAGAAAGGAGTCGCTGTCAGCAATGATGGAGCTGGAATGACAAAGCAGTCGACTGAGGCAACATAGCTGACCATCATCTCCTGTCAGTGATGATGGACCCAGCCAGAGAGGAATGCAGACGTGGCTTCTCTCAGGGAGTTTTTAAGAGGCCCCTTTAGATTATTATCACAGATAACTCATACGTGTCTCCACCTGAGTCCCTGTCATGTAACTAGCAGGCAGAAAGTACATGCGTCTATCAAATGTTTTGTTCTTTGTATTTTTTTTTGTCATTGATTATTTATTTATTTATCGTTCATCAATTTAAGGGTGTCAGGGTAGTTAAATAATATTTCTGTATCCACATGATTTTTAGATTAATATTTGGTCAGTGGCCCTCAGCCTCAGATACTGATGTACAATGAAACCCTAGTAGCGGTATGTGATGCACTGGATGGCAGCAGTTTTAATGCTCTGAGCACCTACAGTAGTATAAAGCAGTGGTTCTCAAATGGTGTGCTGCAACACACTGGTGTGCCATGGGATTTTGTGATAACCGTACATTATTATTGCAATATTCAACTGGGCCTGTAGAAAAAGTTATGAATTGATTTTTAATTGACTGTATCAGTATGTTTTGTGCACCCATTTGCTAATAAAGAGGCAAACTCTAGCTAAAATATTTTAATTTAATTTAATTTAATTTTAATTTAATTCAATTTAATTTAATTTAATTTAATTTAATTTAAAAGCTTCACAGGGAAATTATTTGTTGCCATTTGTGCATGAGGATTGTGTGTGACACATCAGAAGCCTGGGTTGGCAGTCATTGTGAGGGATGATAACATTTTAACATTTAAAGCCGTGAGTGGGACAATGGATCGCTTTATTGTACAGAGAAAATTACAACAAAGCACCAGCGAAGACGACCTACCACCCAAAGAAAAGAGTAAAACTGTCAGTATCACAAAAACTGCCTGTCTTATTTTTCCTTATTTTTATTGTCTTATGTTGTGATAGGAGTGATAACACACGTTAAAGAAGCTTTTGTCCACAGATATAAATACAGGTGTGCCTTGTGATTCTGGTGCCTTGGGCACAAAAAGTTTGAAAACCACTGGTATAAAGAGCAGAAAGTCTGCATAGGGTGGGTGATGGGTCAAACAAACTCTTGACTTTCACCCAGGAGCTCGCTGTTTGTGTCCTGTGTGAAAGGCTATTAAGTTACGTTAATAGCAACATAGTGTGCTAATATGTGTAGCATACTACTCTAGTGACTTTTAACATTGCGTAATGTTAGTAACAAACTTACTTATGTTAAGCCAAACCATGATGTTTTTTTTCTAAACCTAACCGAGTGCTTTTGTTGCCTGAACCCAGGCCCTCAGGAAGTGCACACAGGAAGTGGCTTTGAAGCCAATATTTGTTATGGCCAAACAGGTGACATGATGCCCTCTGGCCCCAAAACACTTTATTCCTCTACTGATGTACATGGTGTAAAAAACATCTGTAAATCAGTGGATACATTTTTTTTTAAATGTCACCACCCAAATGACTCATTTCACTATCAGGATTTGATCAGTTCGGTCTGGTAACATTTGTAAAGTCTAAAGCCCAGATGATGCGCAGCTGGTTCCAATCATCTGGGTAATTTTATCTGCAACAGCTGAATGTTTTGGCTTCATGAAGAACCACAGAGCAGTTTTCATAGGAATGACTGCGGCCCTGCTTTCAGCGCTGTATCCAATTCTCTTTACGCATCCATACCTAAACCTGAGGAGGTACACCTAAAAACAAAGTGTTTAACCTGTATTGTAAATCTATTTTAAAAAAGAGCCTGTATGCATTTAATGTGCCGAAACTGTGCATTTCCTGTAAAAACAGAAGTTTATTTTGAAAAGACACAATGCATGTAACAAGAGTAAATTGACACGCCGTCCTCGTGCATCCAAAACTGACACAGGAGGATACCTAGCATGCCATATTTTGACATACAGGGCCACTGACCAAGTGTTGGCATCTTCGGCAACTTGGGAGTGAGACTGTGTTGTAAATTTACCTTTAAAAACCAAACTGCACAACTCAAAATGAAAGTTTCAACAATAACTGCATTTTCAGCAAGTATACAGGTACATCAATGGTGTTAGAGACAGTATCACATCATATTCTCAGACCAATGTATCATCACTGTCCAGTGAAAATCATGTATCTCCTGGTCATCTGGAGTGTAGTAAAGTTAAATAAACCATTTACAACATTTAGCTAAACAACTTGGCTGTTTTACGAGCTTATGAAAAACATTTAGAGGTTTTGGAGAGACATGGTTTTTCTTAAACAGTGACAATACATTGTACACGTAGGCTGCACTAGTAGACTACATGGTTGCCAACAGTGTGTTAGGAAAAAGGTCACATCTATTGATAGCTAGCATGCAAACAGATATTAGCATCAGTAATACTACCTTCTAACTCCTCCTCCTCCTCCTCCTCCTCCTCTTCCTCCTCTACTACCTCCTCCACCTCTTCCTTCTCTTCCACCACCTCCTCCTCCTCTGCTATCTCTTCCTCCTCCACCTCCTCATCCCCTTCTGTGCAAAGCAAGCATGAAGAGTTAGCGAGCAAACAATGTATAAAAATCTCATACAGCATTTAGATTGACATTATTTCTCGGTGTATTTTTGACAGTGCCTTCAAAACCAAGACAAGATGTTAAATGAAAAATATTAAAATATCTCTACATAGAATTTTCTTATATTTGAGCTTGTGCTATTTCATTTTTCATATATCCCACAAACTGCCAATTTTAGGGTGAATTTGAGGAAAAAATCAAGGCATTTAAGGTTTTTTTTTTCACTAAAAGTGTTTGAACTTATATATTTTGTGCAAGAAACGAAACTGAAGTTCCTTTGATGTTGTAAGTTGATAAAAAGGCTACATTTCGCCGTCTGCATACGTCTCCCACACCTGCAGGGCGCGCCACCTGCCACAAACTAGACAGCACAATTGAAGTGTTGACACATTTGAAGTCTCTTTCTCATTATAATTGTTGTCTGTGAGCGTCTGTAGCCTGCTAATTCTCATTCTGAAAATTCTCAGTGTTGTAACAGTAATTAACCTTGATCTGTGTCTCAAACTGTGCCTTCTGGGGTCCCTAAATCTGTGGGAATTTGGCCTCGAAAGTCCTTGAAAAGTCTGTGAATCTGATAGTTAAGAGATATGGGAACCCTGCATTCATTTGTTTATACAGTTGTTGGCAATGGAGGATATACAGCTTCTTTTAAATGACACTCTTTCATTTGAATATTCCTTTTTTAAATAAAGCTGTGCAGATGGAGACTTTCTGATTCCCATCTTAATTCCACTTGTAACAGAGGTAATTTTGTCATTTTGCCACCAGCCTTCCCACAGTTGCCTTTTGCTTTTGCACTTTTTGCAAAGCAGTTTAAATGCTGTCGTTCTTGTACCGAACATGTCTCCTCATTGAGCTTCTGTGGGAAAACGCAACACCAGGCCTTTAGTCAAAGTCCCTTTAGCCACAGAGGGTAACTTAACCTCTTTGCACTGCAAAGCAGGTAAGCCAACCTGCATTTAGAGGACCTCTTACAGGCACACAGATGAAAGTGGGTATTGTGCTTGTACTGCTGTCTTCCCAAAGGTCCTCTATTGAGAACATAAGCTGACCTACATTGCTCTCTAACAGCGACTCTACCCCACGTAGAGGGGGACAGGTGCCGCTTAGTTTCAGGGACAGCGGGGCTGTACAGTGGCTCGCATGGACAGCCTCACAAAGGCAACAGAAATAGAGGTAAGAGCCTTTATCTCTTTGATGGCGACCCATTGCCCTATTTGAATTGAAAGGACAGATCCACTGGGATGTGAATACTAGGTGACCTGGCTCCAGCCTCAGACAGAGAGGACTGACGGAGAGGACAAAGGTCAATCTGGCAGAAGGGCTCAAGGACGGCAGCTGCTCCTACAGTGGCACCAGCACGCCAAAAATACAGTATGCTGTATGGTGAGAGCCGGCAGCTTAGCAGATGCTGTGTGTTAAGTAACTATAAATGCGAGGCTCAAGTGTGTAAAGCAGGTAACAAAGTAGCAGGAAAAATACGACCAGTGTCTAGAGGTTGAAGCATTTAGAAGCTAACATTGTTTTCATAGATATTGTTTGTATGAAAGTACATACACACCCAGCCCAGTCTCCAGGAGTAAATGTTGGAATTGTACATTTATGCAAACCGCAGATTTGTTGTTGTTGCTTTATATATATCAACATTTCCAAAGTGACATAGTCCTGATTCATATATATGAGCTGACTTTGTCATTAGGAAATGGAAGCAATGGTGAATAACGTGACATCAGCCAGATACCTGCCAAACTGCAGACTACTGTTCAAGACCTGCAAAAAACGAAAATGCTTGTTGTTTAGGGAGACATCGACGGCATTTCTAGCGGCAAATGTGCCACCAAAAATATTTGTATTTTAGCAACATATCTACAGCATTTCCAGCTGTATTTCCAGCTGTAATGGTTCCACAAAAAAACTGATTGTCTTGCTAAAAAGCAAGACATCAGCGGAATTTCATAACTGTGACGTTACCTTGACAAGCAAGTATTTTTTTGGCAAGACATTGGTGGATTTCCAGCTGCGACTGTGCCACCAAAACTGGTTGTTTTTTTAGTATGACATCGATGGCATGACCAGCCGTGATGGTGCCACCAAAACTGGTTGTTTTTAGGGAGACATAAGAGGCATTTCTGTCTGTGACTGTGCCATGAAAAGCATTTTTCTAGCAAAGACATTGCTGGCATTTCCAGCATTGACTGTGCCACCAAAACTGTGCATTTTAAGCCAAAACATGATCCTTTCCTAAACATCACCACATATTAACCACAGCATTGTGGAACTATAAAGCTTGAACGTATCTGCTATATGATAATGTACAAATATCCCTTTGCCAAAACTTATATTCCAACATTTTCTCTGGCGACTGGCTTGACCAACAATATCCTCGTCTCCCTCACAGAGTACACGCAGAGTGGTAAAAAGCAGAGGTCAGCTATGGAAATGTGCTTTAAAAGTATATTAAACATGGGCATGGATATAAATGCATGTCTGATATGTCTACATGCAGCATAATCACAGTATTCATGCATGTTTTTTCCACATGAAGCAGCTGTGTAGCATCCAGCCAGTCTGAATGATTTCTTACTGACAAGAAACAGCTGTCTGAGTCTGCAGCCTATTAACTACACCTCGAGTTCAAACTGTGAAGGCTCATCTTGAACCGCAAACTCTGACTTACGTTGTCCCCTGGAAGAAGAAAAAAACACCAAAAATATTTTGTCACAATTGATTCCATCTGAGCTGCCATCACTTTGTTACTCTCTATTCCTCAGAGACGATTCATCTACTCACTCAGTCGTAGCATCCTCTGTGTCTGACATGTTTAGGCTGCAGTACCTGCACAAGTGAGTCCAATTCAAAGGAGGATAGTGAGCGATACAGCACCAACGACAGCCTGAGATGATATAATAATGCCAAACTGAACCCACTTGTCTCCATTACCTGTTTAAAAAGCAGCACTTACCCAGATAGTGGGACGTGCTCTTCAGACTGGGCTCAATGGGGAATTGTATACTGTGCCCTTCCCTGCAGGCCATAAGCTTTTAAACCCAGTAGTGGATCACATGGCGGCAAACTGCCCATGTCTACAATGGGTGGGCACATACCTGCAAACAGATGGCACATGGCATTAGCTAGAATGGGAAAACACACATTCTCCACGGACTTGCATTGTCTATTTTTACACAGCAAAACCTACGCTGAACAGCGCAGGATTATTGCTCTCAAAAGGTTACAGTAACTCAGGCCTGGCAGACACAAGGAAGGTTAGAAATAATCCTTGTAAACCTCCTCTTGTGTGCAAACAAACCCACAAAGGAGCGGCTCAAGCTCCTATCAGTTACAGCGAAGAGACACTTTATTTACTTATTTCTATTCTGCAGGTCAATGCCACATTCATCACACAACAGCATCAGTTCGCAGCAACAGTTTATTCCCTAAACTGGAGGTGTCATATATTCACATCACTGAGCATTATTCCCATAGCAGACTGCCAAGCGGGTGGGTAAGTTAAGATTCACTCCCTTCAGTGGAACCATCTTCCTCCACCTCGCCTTTCATCTCTGCCCTTACATGCAATAACGTGCCATCAACAACACCCATCACTACCATGCCAAGTCTTTTGATACTCCCAGTGTTTGCTGTTAATATTGTATCTGACCCCACAGTCAGGGTTATGACTCATTGGGCGGCCAGGAGCCGGAGCCAAAATGCAGCTCTGAGTTGAATGGAGTTCCCCCTCCGTCTCATCCAGGGCTTTGTTTACAGATTGTTTGATGCTGTTTTGGAGTCTTCTGTGGTGAGTTCAAATGTCAAGTCAGGTCTCAGATCTTGTCCAAGCAAGTCGCACACTCAGTCTCAAGTGCCCAGGGGGGGGCTAATTAAAGTCAAGTCATGTCAGTGAAGTCTTAAGAGGCAAAGGGAAAGTCAGTAGCAAGCATTACAGGTCTGAAGTATTTGAACTTATTCCGTTTAAAACCATATCATTAGTGTTTTTACATGATGGAGGCTCAGCCCATACAATAGGCCTAAGAAAGAAATGATCAATTTTGGGTGTGTCGAGTATTAGAGGATTTAAAAACGTCAAATGAGACTAGACTCAAGGTTTTAAGGAGCACTACGCCTATTTTCAACATTCAGTTAGTCCAAAAATAATAACATAAACTGTCCCAAATCCAAGGCTGGCACAGTGGAGTGGTGGTTAGCACTGTTGCCTCACGGCAACAGGGTTCCTGGTTTGATCCCAGTTGTGGGAGCCCTTCTGTGCAGAGTTTGCATGTTCTCCCTGTGTCAGCGTGGGTTTTCTCCAGGTACTCCAGCTTCCTCCCACAGTCCAAAGACATGCAGGTTAATTGGTGACTCTAAATCAGCCATAGGTGTGAATGTGAGTGTGAATGGTTGTCTGTCTCTATGTGTCAGCCCTGTGATAGTCTGGTGACCTGTCCAGGGTGTACCCTGCCTCTCGATGGATGGATGGATGTCCCAAATCCAAAAGTTAGAGGGCCAAGGGATTCAAGTTCATCAAGTTAAGTCCTCCGAAATGCATTGTTGATATTTTATCCATGTGCATGTATTGTGATACATCTGTTAATCCTCAATTTTGTTTATTAGTTACCACTATATGAGACAGCTGGAGTCCACATGAGTGTGAATACACACTAGTCTAGCACTGCTGGTAGCAACGCACTGCTGTGCACTGGAGATCTACTGGATTGCCAACTCCTTCACAGTGGTGGGTTGAGCTCTCAAATTCATTGAGGCTTGACGGGATAATTATAACACCAAAGAGAAGCCGTGGGAATTTTACAATTTTGGCATGTTAACATGACTTTTTTACCACAGAAATATTTTAGATATTATTCCTTAATAGGCTCAGTGATGCAAAAGAGCGTACCTGCATTCACTGGGTGAGTACTAGTGTCTTATGTTTTATGTATATTGATAATTAGGACTGTTTCTATAATGTAAATAAGACTGACTCATGTCTGAAGTCTACAGTCTTGTTTCAAATGTAAACTTTGTCTGAACTCAACTTTAGGTCTTCAAACAGATGCATGTCTAAACAAAGGAAATAGGTTATGTACCATGTTGTATGCTGTATTTTTTTGGCTGCAGTATGGATGTAGAGCCCAGGACAACTTTCCCACTTTGTAGGACAATAAAGTTAACCTTGACCTTGCCAACACTTGTGTCTCTTGTAAAAAACACTTAGATATTATAACTATCTGTGTCGCCTCTGGAGGATTTTTCCTCAAGTATTTGAATTCTTGTTTTGTTCAGTAGGTGTTTACATAGAGGAGAAAACCTTAAACCTTAAACACTGAGGTGTTTGAACACAAATAGTCACCTGACCTATTTCCTTTGTGTTTCTACATGTTTGCACTGCACAACGACTGAATGACTGACACATGTATAACACACAGAGCAGATGAGTCATATCAGTGAGCTCACATCACGATGAAATACTCAGTGGTCATGCTCAATTTAAAAATAGTCATTGATTAACAGCAAAAGCCTTTAATACTGATGTGTGATGCAGACACTCTGCTTTGCATATGATAGTTTTTTTAGTTCTTTTATTCTTTTTATCAAAAGAAAACAAATATACAACATATTATTTTCTGTATTTAACATTGTATAATAATACTGCATGAGTTATTTTTTAATCCCTTAATAAGACACCTTCATGAATGTTTAGCTTGTGTTACATGATATCCGTTGAGCCGAGTGCCAAAAAAGGAATTGAAAGCTTTAGGAAGTCAGACAATCACAGTATTGAGCTCCAGCTACTTTCCTTTGATTGAAACTTTCTCCTCCTGATTGTATTGTTGCACACCCCACCCGTCTGGCACCTGACTCACCTAAAACAAACAGCAGAAAGCACTTAGTGCTAATACTGGTTAACCCTGACATGGCAGCAGTCCTAACACGGATCTTCACCTCAAACAAATGTCAGCATTGTTGAGATCTGTTAATAACGTTTACTGAATCAATGAGCAGTGTGTTTAGTTGGAAACAAATGATACATTGAGCCAAGTTTTTATTTTAAGTTGCTGCTGGTTAGAAAACCTGTCAGTGAACTGAACTGATGCTGACACCTTGTGGCGAAAATCAAAAGCATCAGCCTGCACTTTTTAACTTACCTGTATGCCATCTTTTATATCTTATATATATGTATATATGTAAATGAATGAAATTTTAACAAGAAAAAATAAAGAAGATAATCCAACAATAAATATATAAATGAATAAATAAATGAAAAAAATAAATATATTTTTTTTTGATTATTTTTGTGGGCTTTTTGCCTTTAATGACAGGACAGTGAGTGAAATGGGGAGACA